TTATGTTTTATCTACACAATCAGAATGAATTTCAGGAACCAAAATGCTTTTTCTGTGCAGCCTGAGCAGGAGCAGTGAACTCTGTTACAGTGAATGGTTGTAGCTTGTCTTCTCTTGCCCTGTCCCACTGCCCTGCTCACCACTGTGAAGAATATTCCTACATTATGAATGATACCTGTCACCATTAAGAAAAAGAGGTCGGAATAGGCCAATATATATGTGACCTGTCTCTGGATCAAGGGACTTTCCTTACTGCAGTTCTCCAAGCTCAAGGTTTTCATCTGAACTAGCCAGATGTTTAACTGAGAATCAACCCCAGTCAGTCCATCATTTGGAAAACAAAACTTCAGAGCCGTCTTGCCCAAAAATGGCAATTAGAGATTCTGTTTTAGCAATTGCAACCTTGGTTTAAGGAGCCATTTGGTGCCTAACTTATATATCTGAGTTTCTAGCACTGCTCTTGTGGGATCTCAGTATCCAAGGTATTATTCTCATGGTGAAACTGGATGGTACCTTGGAGATTATTTTTAGAACACTTGTGGCTTTTTCTGCACACTGTGAAACTGGGACCGATTTGCCTCATTTCAATTTGCCACACGGTGTTTCATTCAAAACTGGCATTCTGGACTTCCCAGAGTTACGCTGTTTTGTGTTACAGCTTGCAAAACAGAAACCGCATGACTTCTGTTTTTACAAAGCACAAGTTCACCTGAGGAAGCTAAAGTCTTTTCACACCTCAGGGCCTCTCCGCACAGGTGTGAATGCGGTCCAATGTGGTCGGATGACATGTACCTTTTTGGCATTCTTGCAAACTTTCTGTTTTAATGAGGATGGGCTTTCAACTTGGGTGGGTGCTGTTTATTTGCAGTGTGGGGTTGTTTTAAAATAATTGTTGTTAAATGTTACATGTTAATTTTTATTGTCGTGTTTGTATCTGAGGGCTGGACTATTGTTTAGGATGAGCTTTTGTTGGGGTGTGTATTGTTTAGTAGTGTGTATATATTAGTAATGTTGATTGTTTTGATTATTTTTATTACATTTATTTTTATTATGTATTTTGTGCTTTGTATATTGTAACTTTGGATTGTGTGAACTGCTCTGAGACCTACTGGTATAGGGTGGTATATAAATGTAAATAATAATGATAATAATAATATCCATCAAGTTCTCGATAGCAGCTCCCCAACTCTGGAATGCTCTCACTTCAGGTGTGATCTGAACCAACAGGAATGGAGTTTTGATGCCAGATAAGAATGTAGCTTTTCCCTCAAGAAAAGAGAGCCAGTGTGGTGTAGTGGTTAAGAGTGGTGGACTCGTAATCTGGTGAACCAGGTTCGCATCCCCGCTCCTCCACATCCTGCTGCTGGGTGACCTTGGGCTAGTCACACTTCTCTGAAGTCTCTCAGCCCCACTCACCTCACAGAGTGTTTGTTGTGGGGGAGGAAGGGAAAGGAGAAGGTTAGCCGCTTTGAGACTCCTGAAGGGGAGTGATAAAGCGGGATATCAAATCCAAACTCCTCCTCCTCCTCTGCAAGCATTCAGCTTAAGTGGGGCTTGGCTGAAGTAGTTGTTAGCATATTGTTTGATTTTCTAACAAGTCGCATTGAACTGGAGTATTGCTTCTGCTGTTTGTAATGCTCCTCGTTCTGGGTTTGTGCCAACAATAAAGATAAATACATCTGCAAATAATTTAAATAAACGGATAAATTAAAAAAGCAGGGTTTTTCGTATGTGTTTATGTGTATGGTGTGTGTGTGCATTTGTGTTTTTTCCTGAACTTCTGAATAAATCAGTCTCTGCAGGCCTATGGAAACTGCCTTTGTAGTGCAGCCTTGCTATTAGGAAATGGCAGGCAAGCTGCTTCGTGCATCAGTTTTGGAACCACAACAAGTTGGCTTAGAACAATGTCATTTGTTTACTTCATTATCTTTTTACTGCCACGAGTGGTTTGGATTGGATTTTCTGGTTGAGACGCTAAAGCTATAGAATCTTAAGAGTGAGATGGGACCCAAGGGTAAGGTAAATAAATAAATAAATAAATAAATACTACACATTCGGACATTGATGCTGCAGCGATGACAGAGGGGCAGCCACCGTCTTGACCTCGACCGCCACGTTTCCCCTTCCTCCGAGGCTTCTGTCTCCTTTCTCCATGAGCCTGGGCAGCCCCTGAGTTGCTGGTTCTTTGGTGGTGGTGGTGGGGAAGCGGTGTGTGGTGGGTCAGGCATGGAAGGCGGAGAAGGAGGGCCGAGAGCAGCGCAATCCCTTCCCATCGGAGCAGCCCCAATCCCATTCCTACTTGCGTGCAAGCAGGAGGGGGCGGGGATCCCTCAGCTGGGAAGGGAGGCTTCCCGTTGCCTAACTGAGAGATCCCTGCCCCCTCCTGCTTGCACGCAAGCTCTGATAGGCAGTGTGAAGCCTCCCTTCACAGCTTAGTTGCGGGGGTCAGGGAAGGTGGAGGCAGCCCGGAATTTGCATCTTTGAGCCCCTGCACTACCATCATATGGGGACTTCCGAGCTGCTCCTGCAGCCAGCCAGAGCCAACTGTTCTGGGCTGCTGAGACTGATGCTGCTGCGTTTCCCGGGGACATTAGATGAAATCCGGGGACTTTCCGGGGATGGAATTTGTCTGGGGACTTATTCGCAAAACTGGGAACTGTCCCAGGGAAACGGGGATGTCTAGTAACCCTAGCCAAGTGTCATCTGCAATGCAGGAAACTCAGCAACCATTTTAAAAAATGAGTATTCATTGCAGACAACGAAGCTTTTACCTTTATATTATGGATGCATGAAATGCAATCTCACCCAACCCTCTGAAAAAAAAACCAAACAACATCCTTAGATCATACATTCCCATGCATGTCTACTCAGAATTCATCTGAGTTCAATGGAACTTATCGCTTAGCGCATGTTCTTAGGACTGCAAATGTAGGCTTCAGGTGTTTGGCAGCGAGGCCAATCTTGCCTGAGGCTGCTTTCCTTTTCATAATGAAAATAATTGTATGGGGGAAACTGTATTCTCCTTCCCAATATACATGTATATTTGCAGCTCCGCAGCCTCCGCTTCGTTTTAATTAACAAGCAAAAGCACACTGTGATATTGGGGGGGTCATATGCAGGGCAGCTGTTCCTGCACCTTTAACAGGAGAAGGGATTTCAGAAGGTGGACTTGGCCTCACAAGCTGCACCTGCTCCCACCCCACCTCTAACAAAACTACAAAAAAAATACTAATTAACTGTTCACATGCCAAGAACTCTGTGCTCTCAATCACCTTGCATGTGGGCCTGTGTAATTATCCCTGTATGTACTTTTCCGCATTTAATTCCATCGAGATCTGAGTTTACAGGTGCTCCCCAACTTTGTATACCTGCTCCTGCAATGAGCATTAGATGAAGTGGTCTGCAGCAGCCCTGGGCGTAAAGGTAAAGGTAAAGGGGCCCCTGACCATTAGGTCCAGTCGTGACCGACTCTGGGGTTGCGGCGCTCATCATGCTTTACTGGCCGAGGGAGCCGGCGTACAGCTTACGGGTCATGTGGCCAGCATGACTAAGCCGCTTCTGGCAAACCAGAGCAGCGCACGGAAACACCATTTACCTTCCCGCCGGAGCGGTACCTATTTATCTACTTGCACTTTGACGTGCTTTCAAACTGCTAGGTTGGCAGGAGCAGGGACCGAGCAATGGGAGCTCACCCCGTCGCGGGGATTTGAACTGCCGACCTGCTGATCGGCAGTGGTTTAACTCACAGCGCCACCCGTGTCCCTGCTCCTACAAGGTGCATTAGATGAAGTGGTCTGCAACAGCCCTGGGCATAGCCAGGATTTATTGGGGGGGTGGCAGGACACCCACCTGTCATAATCCTCTGTCAGGTTCTGCCTAGCAGATTTGGAAGAAAACATCTCAACCGCAGTTATACTTTCTTTTGACTCCAAGCGCTCAGAAAAATAGGTCAAAATCTTTCTAATTTTAGTGAAGCATTTTTATTACTTTTTTTTACCACTGAAGCTTGTTGCTGCAATATATCTGCACGTCTTTAAAGATGCCACAAGACTCTCTTTGTTGTTGTTGTACACTGAGCAACGCTGAGCAAACGCGCATGCAGGATCGTGTGCGCCCACTCGAGAGCAGCATCTCGTTCCACATTTGCTCCTTGGACATAAAGCTAGGACTTAGCGGCGGGCAGAACCTCAGCTAGTTAAGTATTTTTTATTGATTTACTTTGATTGGGGGGCAGTTGCCTCCATCCCGTGCCTTCCCCTGGCTACGCCTTGGGCATGTTTTGGAACTACCTTGCCGCTGATTCCAAAGATCCCGGCATTGCAGGGGGGTTAGACTAGATGCCCCCCCTTCCAACTCTACCATTCTATGATCTCGGTGGGGGCTCACTTCTAAGCAACATAGGACTGTCGGCTTGCATCTGGGGGCTGGGGGTGCCATGGCCCTGGCACCGAAATTTGTGGGTGCCCGACCCCCTTCCTGGGGAGTTTTTGGGTGCTCAAGCAATGATAATTAATTAATGAATTATACCCCGCCCATCTGGCAGGGTTTCCCCAGCCACTCTGGGCGGCTTCCAGCAAAATATTAAAATACAATAATTCATCGAATATTAAAAGTTTCACTAAACAGGGCTGCCTTCAGATTTATTTTTTTTAACCTTTTGGGGTTTTTTGCACATAGTATGTACGGGCTGCAAAAATCTGTAAATAAATAAAAAAGGCGTGTCCCTTTTATTTATTCTCCCTGTTTTCCCCAACCCCAACCCGCCTTTGGGAAAAGGAGAGCGGGGGAGGGGAAAGAGAGGGAATTCCCCCCCTCTCCCCCGCATCAGAAGCCCAGGGACTTCCCTGGAGGGCGGGGCAGAGGAGGAGGAGAAGATAGGGAAAGGCAGGAAACTCCGCGCCTGCGCACGAGCGAGCCAGCCAACCCTCCCCCCTCGTGTCCCCCTCCTCCCACCGCGGAGCCCCGCGCGCCTGCGCAGCCTCCTCCTCCTCCCCCTCCTTCCTCCGGACTGGGCTGTCCGCCCTGCGATACATAAGGCGATGCAGGGAGGCGGCGCTACGGAAAGAGCCGCTGCAGCCGCCGCCGAGAAGTCGCAGGAACCGCCGGAAGGACGCGCAAAGATGGTGAAGACCGTGGGCAGCCTGGTAAGGGTCTTCCCCCTTGCACTGGGGGGCGGCTTTCCCAGGCCAAGGCCCGGGAGGGAGTAAGGACCACCGCCGGGGGAGAAGCGCGCGTGCAAAAATCCCGGGGTTGCAACATTTGCAGCTGCCGACCCCTAACTCCTCCTGATCTGACCCCCCAACCCCGGGGGGGGCTGCAGAAGTGCCAACTTGAATGAAATATTTGGGGGGCCCTTACCCATGGGCGTAGCCAAGGGGAGGGGGGCAGGGGACAGCTGACCCCCCCAACACAATCCAATAAAAAATACTTAACTAACTGTGGTTCTGCTCCACAGTCTGCTCAACCCCCCCAAGAATCCTGGCTACGCCCATGGGACCCCCCCCCCCAAAGTATGGAGTAGCTAGGATTTATATTGGGGGGGGCGAGCTATCCAAGGTGCCACTGGGCAGTGCGTTTAGTATTTTTATTTATTGGGGAGGGGGAGAGCAGCTGCCCCCCCAATCCGGCAACGCCCATGGGCCCAGGTAAGCCCTGTCGTCTGGCATAACTGGATCGCAAGGCGCACACCAGTTTGAATGGCAATGCCCGTTAACTTGAGGGGGTGCTCCAGCCCCCTACAATATTTATTGGGGAGGGGCTGAAGGGACCTTGGACCCCTTAGGAGTTGGCTCCTTGCCTCTTATCTAGTGTGGAAAAGATCCTTTGGGTGCCTGTTGCATTCTTAGTTCCTTGCGCTTAAAAATAAATAAATGCATGCAGGGCTTTTACGCTGGTGGTGGCTTTGCAGGGGTCAGGAAGAGGCGCTTCTAACTTCCTGAAGTGCCCCTTCTTCTTCTTTTTCTTCTTCCACCGGCCGCCTCCTCTCCCTGCCTGGCATTGCAGCTGCCTCTGCCACCCGGAAAACCTGCCCCAGAGGCTCATTGGGGTTGCATCAGCATCTGCTTCCGCATGTGCCAGTTAAGAGGAGCATTGGGGCATGGGAGCGAGGGCTTTTGTCTGCTTCCATTCCCTCTTCTCCTTGCCTGCATCATCTCAGAGCCCCTTCCTAGCTCTGTGTACAGGGGCTCCTCCTTCTCTGCTTGCTGAGAAAACAACCATGGCGGCCCCCCAGCACTTTTCCTCCTCCGACTTCTGCCTGGATCCGCCTGATTAAACTCTTTCGCAGGCTGGCTACCTAGAAAGGACACTTTGCCCCCCAGTGGAAGGAGTGGCGGCAGGTACAATCGTCTCCTTGCCGTGGAGAGTTAAGAATCTTGCGGCACAACTCTGCCCATGTGTAAAGTCCGCTGCCGACCAAAGTGTGGTCCTCTTGAGACGGCAGCTTTTCTGGCAACTCCCCATTTCCGACTCCCGCTTTGAACATCAAGAGTTTTTGCCAAGCTCTTATCTGAGCTGCGGCCGTCTCTTTGCCTAGCCGAGGCCTTGTTGTTTGGAGAGTTGTGCCCCACTGCCCCGGCGAAGGGCCTCTTGTGTTCTTGCTGTTCTGGATTTTCCTGCGGCAGACTTTAATGGCTGCTGCGAACGGTTGCAGCAGCAGCGTGGGCACAGAGGGAGGAGGCAAATAGCAGGAGGAGCTACGGCGGTTGCAGCCAAAAAAACGACAATTGCTGTAATAAGCCGCTGCAGAGACACACACACTCTCTCTGACAAGCTCCTGCATTTTAAGAGATTCCTGGCTGTCCCTTTTTTTAAAAAAGGATTCCATCCCTCGTTTCCTTTACCTGACGGGAAGCTTGTGTTAATTGCAGAGGGAGAGATGCTTGCTGCCTTCGCCATCCTTCAGTCTTCTTAGTCGTGCTCGACCCTCCATGATCCCATGAACCAGAGCATGTGTTGGAATTTCTCCTCAAAGCTTCTGCTTTTGTCCACGGAGTGTTCATGGCAAAATACTGGAGTGGGTTGCCAGTTCCTTCTCCAGCTTGCTACCTTATAATTCTATGATTCTTGTAGCATAGTATTCTCCTCTGTTGTTTACATAAACTGCTCATGCGCTAGTGCCCTATGTCCTGGGGATGTGGCTGCTAGTGCCCCCCCCTCCCCCTGTGATCAGCTGTGCTCAGCCGTAGGAAGGCTTAAATTTTCCTGGACTACAGAAACATCCAACGCCGTTGTCAAGCAGGGCACTGCTGCACACTCAAAGATGTCTGTACTGAGAACTAGGAAATAAGTTTTCTCTTTAATGACAACATAATGTTCCGCTCCGGCGGGAAGGTAAACGGCGTTTCCGTGCGCTGCTCTGGTTCGCCAGAAGCAACTTAGTCTTGCTGGCCACATGACCCGTAAAAACTGTCTGCGGACAAACGCTGGCTCCCTCGGCCTATAGAGCGAGATGAGCGCTGCAACCCCAGAGTTGTCCGCGACTGGACTTAACGGTCAGGGAGTCCCTTTACCTTTAATGTTAGCAAGTTGGTGAGTTGCTGTTAGGATACAAGTTTCTTCCAATTTAGAGGGTGTGTGTTAGATATGTACTGGAGCATACAGTGGTACCTCTGGTTACGTACTTAATTCGTTCCGGAGGTCCGTTCTTAACCTGAAGCACCGCTTTAGCTAATGGGGCCACCGCGCCACCAGAGCACAATTTCTGTTCTCATCCTGAAGCAAAGTTCTTAACCTGAGGTATTATTTCTGGGTTAGCGGAGTCTGTAACCTGAAGCGTATGTAACCAGAGGTACCACTGTAGTTATAAACAACTATTCAAATGCATTGTTTCCTGTGATTTGGGAGGAGACGACAAAACATTCTTGATTTATTCCTCAATCATATCGGTGACCAGTTGTATGCTTCTTGACATTTGCTGAATGTGGTTGTGTGGCTTTGCTCATTTGGGAAGGAAAACTACTGCTTGGAAAAAATTAGTTGGTGTGAGCCTAACCCATGTTTTTTTCTTTCTCTTTTTAAAGCCTTCACGGCTTCTCCTTCTCCATCCCCACAATTCATGCTCTACTGTCTCTTATATTCCTCTTTCTAGCATCCCTTCCCTGGCCTAGGCGGAAAAGTTGAAATGTGGCTAGCTTTCTAATCCTGACGTGCCCTAGGCATGAAACTGAAAGGATGACCTGCTTTTGTTTCTTCCACCCTCAGCAGAGATTTCCGGTAGCCACCCCAGTGTCTGAGAAATGACTCACAGTGGCACAGGGAAGTTTTTCTCGGGCTGGTTTCATCTGCTCACATTGAGACATAAAGGGTTGTCTTGGGTTAGCAGTGCTTAAACACTGCTTTGGGAGAAGAGGGCTGGAGTGTTAAAGGGAAATGCCAGAAGGCAACAAAACTGAAAACATCTGCATCTTAAAACAACAAGAACAACAAAACTTGCATTTTGTAGAGATCTTTCTCTCCCCTCCCTCCTTCCAGTGTTAAGCCTATTGTGACTTTGTAAGGTAGGCCAGTCCTTTCAAGGTGGGATTGATTACAAAAGATGCAGCCAGGGAACTTATTGATGTCAGATGACAGATGAACTTCCTGGCTTCCCCTTTAACAAGACATTGACTTGTTACAGGCTAAAGTTATGGAAGTCCCCCAGTGTCTGTGGGTGCATTCATTGGAATTTAGCAAGAATCCAGCCCCAGATCTGGATTTTCTGCCTCTTCATAGAGTGTTCCTGGAAGATGTTTGCTCCAGCTCTTCTCATGAGGGCTTCAAAGAAGGAAGCTCTGTAATTTATAAGCTCTAGTCCATTGCTGAGCTGTAATCTCCTAACCTATAGCTTGACTCTTTCTCTCTACTGTGATCTTTAGGTTATTGCCACTTGAGCTCTTCTCAGTCATGTTGAATTGTTTTTGCTGGCCTCTTAATATAGTTGAAACATAAGGGTATTCCTTCTCCTCTCATCCCCTTTATGTAAATACAGTCAAACCTCGGTTCCTGAACACTTCCGTTTTGGAACGTTTTGGCTCCTGAACGCCGAAAACCTGGAAGTAAATGCTCCGGTTTTCAAACTTTTTTGGAAGTCGAGCGTCCGACGCGGCTTCCACTTGAGTGCAGGAAGCTCCTGCAACCAATTGGAAGCCGCTCCTCTGTTGAACATTTCGGAAGCCAAATGGGCTGCCAGAACGGATTACGTTAGACGGCCAAGGTTAGACTGTACAGGGAGACTGTAATCGTAAGCACTTACTAGGAAATTAGTATGACTGATCACAGTGGGACTCGCTCCTGAGAAAACATGTCCAGCTTGTGCTGCCATACGGCATACAGACTATCCTTTCTCATTCTGTTTCCCTGCTGGAAATGCTCTTCTAACTCTCCACTGGATTGCTTTTTCAGTATCCCTTAAATTTGGTGCCGTGCTTGAATCTAGCCTTCTTGCTATCCAGTGAGGCATTGCTGCTACTTTATTCCTTTATGTGACCTGCACTGCTAGAAACTCAGATTTACAAGCTAGGCGCCAAATGGCTCCTTAAACCAAGGTTGCAGTTGCCAAAACAGAATGTCTAGTTGCCGTTTGGGGGCAAGACGACTCTACAGTTTTATTTTCCAAATGATGGATTGACCGGGATTGATTCTCAGTTAGATTTCTGCCTAGTTCAGATGACAACCTTGAGCTGGGTTAAGAACTTTGAGAACTTTTTTTCCTTAAGCCACTTGATCCAGGAAGAGTCTGCAAATCTATTGGCCTGTTCCGACCTCTTTCTTAATGATGACACGGACCATTCATAATGTAGGAATAAACAGCACCCATTCAAGTTGAAACCCCATCCCCATTAAAACAAAAAGTTTGCAGGAATCCAAAAAAGGTACATGTCACCAGGCCACGTTGGACCGCATTCACACCTGTGCGAAGAGGCCCCGAGGTCTCGTTGGTGCAATGTGTGAAAAGACTTTAGCTTCCTCAGGCGAACTTGTGCTTTGTAAAAACAGAAGTCACACGGTTTCTGTTTTGCAAGCTGTAACACAAAACATTGCAACTCTGGGAAGTCCAGAATGCCAGTTTTGAATGAAACACCGTGTGGCAAATTGAGATGAGGCAAATCAGTCCCAGTTTCACAGTGTGCAGCAGAAGCCACAAGTGTCCTAAAAATAATCGCTGTGGTGCCATCCAGTTTCACCATGAGAATAATACCTTGGATATTGAGATCCCACGAGAGCAGTGCTAGAAACTCAGATATATAAGCTAGGCACAAAATGGCTCCTTAAACCAAGGTTGCAGTTGCCTAAACCGAATCCCTAATTGCCATTTTTGGGCATGATGGCTCTAAAGTTTTATTTTCCAAATGATGGACTGACTGGGGTTGATTCTCAGTTAAGCATCTGGCTAGTTCAGATGAAAACCTTGAGCTTGGAGAACTGCAAGAAGGAAAGTCCCTTGATCCAGAGACAGGTCACATATAAATTAGCCTATTCCGACCTCTTTTTCTTAATGGTGACATGGACCATTCGTAAAATCGGAATATGCTTCACAACGGTGAGCAGGGCAGTGGGACGGGGCAAGTGAAGACAAGCTACAACCATTCACTGCACCATCGTTCACTGCTCCTGCTCAGGCTGCACAGAAAAAGCGTTTTGGTTCCTGAAATTCATTCCGATTGTGAAGATAAAATGTAACTGATAGAATTCTACAGGATGGGGTGTTAGTGCGTAAAAACAGTCCAGATCCAATGATCCTCAGGCATGCACTTCCAGATGGTGGAGATGCCATCCTGGTGCCCATCATCATGGTCACAAGTGGCTGACGGCCAGCTGCAAAATGCACTTGGCTAATTTTGAACACTGGTAACCCGAAATGGTTACCAAAAGGGATGTGGGTGGCGCTGTGGGTCAAACCACAGAGCCTAGGACTTGCTGATCAGAAGGTCGGTGGTTCGAATCCCCGCGACGGGGTGAGCTCCCGTTGCTTGGTCCCTGCTCCTGCCCACCTAGCAGTTCAAAAGCACATCAAAGTGCAAGTAGATAAATAGGTACCACTCCGGCGGGAAGGTAAACGGCGTTTCCGTGCGCTGCTCTGGTTCGCCAGAAGTGGCTTAGTCATGCTGGCCACATGACCCGGAAGCTGTACGCCAGCTCCCTTGGCCATAAAACGAGATGGGCGCCGCAACCCCAGAGTCGTCCGCAACTGGACCCAACGGCCAGGGGTCCTTTAACCTGAAATGGCAGCATCCCTATGTGCCGCACTTCTGCCATCTGTTTAAGAGTGATTTGAATCTTTAGCTTGTCTCTTTCATCTCCTCTCCAATTATAAGAGCTGTGGACTTGTACTGTCTTCATCTAAATTTGGGGGAATGCTGTTTATTTAATAAATAGTAAACAATAGCTCTATTTAATGAACACCATCCTCTTTAAATGCCACTTAGGTTAAGCATCACTTAAGTTAAATCCTGGGTTATTCCACAATGCCCATATGCCCCCCTCCTATATGATTATCCTTGTGAGCTTTGCAGATATATATTTATACCTTGGCTAATAGGAAGATCTGCTGATCAAGTACCATGTTATTAATGCTGCAACCCGACTGCCTCTTGATTAAACTGGCCTGTAATTTGTGGGCATTCATCTATTAGTTTAGACTTCAGAAGAAGCTTTCTCTGAACAGCAACTTAACATGGAAATGTGGATTAAGCTTATTAGGAGTAGACTGTTGCCTTGTCATTAGGAACAGACTGCTTGCTGCCTTGTATGGCACAAAGGGAATTTGAGAGATACTGTTGGGACTGCTTGGCCATTCACTGGTGACCTTCACAGGTTGATTTTTCTGCCAAGGCAGCTTAAAATGCTAAAACAAACAAATGATGTGAACTGTAATGCGGGTTGAGTCATAGATGGCCGTCTTTTATGTTTCTGACTAACATCTCTTCAGTGGCTGTGAGAGGAAAGGGCTCTCTCACTTTAACAATTGGGTGACGCCTTGAGAGGGCCTTCTTGAATTCCTAAGTCAGTGTGGTTTAATGGACTTGTCTGACGGCTCATTCAGCTATTGTGGCTGGTGCACATGCTTCTGCTGAACTGTAGGTCTGTAGGGAGCTATAGAGCTCGATCGCTGGTCCCTCTAATGTATTGTCTACATCAGGGGTGGCCAACTCCCAAGAGACTACGATCTACTTACAAAATTAAAAACTAGCAGTGATCTACCCCCATTTTGGGGGGGTTCAGGTCAAAGTTCTTGAGGGTTTTTTTTTAGGGAAGAGGAAAGTCCTGGCTTTAAGGGTTTTGGGAAAAACATAGGAACAGCCACTCACCAACAAATAGCTGGGGAAACAGCCTCACTCAGTAAACTCCGTCTTCCGTTCTGCAGATCGTGCAACAATGGAGAGCAGGGCAAGGGGGCTGGGCTGGGCTGAAAACGATCGCAGGGACCCTGCGATCGACCGTTATCTACCAAAACCTCCCGGGGATCTACCAGTAGATTGGGATCGACCTGTTGGACATCCCTGGTCTACATTAATTAGCAGCAGCCCTTCAGGATTTCAGATGGGACCAGTGCTTGAAATTTGACACATTTTGCACCTGGGTATGAACCACTAGTGACCAAGTAAAGATGTCTGGGTGCCAATATGGCGCCTGAGATCTCCTCCATCTGGAGGCAGTGTTAGCAACTCACATATAGAAACTAGGTGCCAAATAGCTCCTTAAACCAAGGTTACAGTCACCAAAATGGAATCTCTAGTTGCCATTTGGGGGCAAGACGGCTCCAATGTCTTATTTTTCAAAGGATGGACTGACTGGGATTGATTCTCAGCTAAACATCTGGCTAGTTCAGAGACAACCTTGAGCCAGGTTAAGAGCTTTGAGAACTTCAAAGAGAACAGTCCCTTGATCCAGGGACAGCCCACATTATTGGCCTATTCTGATCTCTTTTTCTGAATGGTGACACGGGCCATTCATAACGTAGGAATGTTCTTCACAACTGTGAGCAAGGCAGTGGGATGGGGTAAGTGAAGATAAGTGACAACAAATAGCTATAACACTGCTCCTGCTCAGGCTGTACAGAAGAAGCATTTTGGTTCCTGAAATTCATTCTGATTGTGCAGTTAAAATATAACTGATAGAATTCTACAGGATGGGGTATTAATGTGTGAAAACAGTCTGGGTCCAATTATTCCCAGGCATGCACCTTCAGATGGTGGAGATGCCATCCTGGTGCCCAGGCATTTTGGTCACAAGTGGCTGACAGCCAGGTGCAAAATGTGCCTGGCGCCTGGCTAATTTCGAACACTGTCTGGAGGTGCCTGCCTGGGGGATCCTTGGATCTTGACTGTTTTCACAAAGAATTCGACAGGATGGGGGAATTCTATCTATTGTATTTTATCTGCAAAATCAGAATGAATTTCTGGAACCAAAAAGTCGTACTGAAAAATATGACTTTTGAGCCGTCTGGCCCAAAAATGGCAACTAGGCATTCAGTTTTGGCGACTGTAACCCTAGTTTAAGGAGCCATTTGCTGCCCAGCTTGTATATCTTAGTTTCTAACACTGGGTGGGGCATTCCTGGTACAGTGGTACCTCAGGTTAAGTACTTAATTCGTTCTGGAGGTACATACTTAACCTGAAACTGTTCTTAAGCTGAAGCACCACTTTAGCTAATGGGGCCTCCTGCTGCTGCCGCGCCGCCGGAGCGCGATTTCTGTTCTCATCCTGAAGCAAAGTTCTGAACCTGAAGCACTATTTCTGGGTTAGAGGCGTGTGTAACCTGAAGCGTATGTAACCTGAGATACCACTGTACTACAGAGCTGCCAAGTATTGTGTGTGGAACCTTCTGCCTGCACATCAAATGCTCCACTTCTAAGCTTGAGGACCTTTCTGTCTCAATATCTTGGATGGCGGTATCCTATATCCTTGCCCATAGGAGTCCAGCTCCTTTTGTGTTTCGAATACACTGTGAGATACCTCCTCCTTAAAGAGCAAAACCTTTCAACTCTGCTTATTCTTAGCACTTGTTATATTGTTTTATCTCGGAAATGGCTACAAAATATTTGGGCAGGTTCCCTTTTTTTGGCTTTGAAAACTGTCCTTGGACTTGGGTTTATTTGTCCAAGATAGCTGTGTGTATGCCATTTTCAAAAAAAAAACCACCCTTTTTTGAAATGGATGTTCTCAAAACTTCCTAGTATAAGGCATTCTTTTTTATAATGTGGATACACGATGTTCAGCCAGCAACAAAATGGTGCATGCCAGGGGTGCATTGCAGCTGAGATTTCATAATCTTTAATGGCAAAGTTGGCTGGGGTGAGAATGTTGTTTTCTTTGTCTTGAATACAGTCTGAATATAATGTCCAAAGGGGAATGCAGCAGTTTCTTAGACTCGGGCTCTCTCTTCCCTTCCCTCCCCAACCCCTAATTTTCTTTCCAATTTGCTTGACTGCATTTGGAGTTGCTGAATTTCTTAAGACTTGACTGCAAGCCAAGGCCATCGCCGTAGGCACGGACCTATCTTTGATTCTAGCACAGTGGTTCTCCGGACAGCTTGGTCCAAATTCATACACAGTACAATTCCAGGAAGGTTATTTTGCAAAAGTTCACTGAGTGCAACAGTTGGGCACCCAGACTTCTTCACTTGGTTCCAGGTGGCTGATAACCGGGTGCAAAATACGCCAGGCGAATTTTGAACGCTGCTTAAAACTTGCTATAAAGAGACATGAAAAAGGAATGGTGTACATGTTCTCTGTTTTAAATGATGTAAAGTTGGGCAAGGCTTTACGTTACTGAAAACAGTTTTAAAATGTACTGAATTTTGGTACAGTGGTACCTCGGGTTAAGTACTTAATTCGTTCCGGAGGTCTGTACTTAACCTGAAACTGTTCTTAACCTGAAGCACCACTTTAGCTAATGGGGCCTCCTGCTGCCGCTGCCGCACCGCCGGAGCACAATTTCTGTTCTCATCCTGAAGCAAAGTTCTTAACCTGAAGCACTATTTCTGGGTTAGCAGAGTCTGTAACCTGAAGCGTATGTAACCTGAGGTACCACTGTATATCCAAAGAGCTGTGCATTCCTTATACTCTTCCAAAGGGATAGTCATCTAGGGTACAAAGTGCACCTGCAACTTTGAAACGGCCCTGTTTGATAGCTAGTTGTATTTTTGGTCACGCTACCGGTTGTGCGGGTTTTTCTTCCGGCTGTAGAAAAGTTTCCATGGATAAACGCAGTGAAAACATTCCAACTCTCAGTGCATGGCTTGTGGACCGCATTGTCCAGCAGGGCAACTCAGCCCCGTCAGTAGATCTTCATTCTTAATTCCACCCCTGTATATGTTGTTGCAGCCTGCCTTGATTTGGGTTGCAACCCCATCGTGGGTCTTGACTGAAGACTCAATGGCTTGCACTCACCCACACCCACTCCTCCTCCTCCTCCTGTTCTGCTGCACTACTAACCAGTGTTAGAAACTGGGATAGAAAAGCTAGGAGCCCAATGGCTCCTGGGACCTGGGTTGTGGGCGCCAAAACAGAATGTCTAGTCGCCATTTTGGGGGGGGCGTTCGGCAACACTTTTTATTACCTTGATAAGCATGAAGTAATACACAGTTCACATAAAGCAATACAGTGGTGCCTCGCAAGACGAAAATAATTCGTTCCGCGAGTCTTTTCGTCTTGCGATGTTTTTCGTCTTGTGAAGCACGGTCCGTCGCAGCTGCGCCTCTTCAAGCGGCTTTAAGAAAAAAGCGCAAGACGTTTTCGTCTTGCGAAGCAAGCCCATAGGGAAATTCGTCTAGCGAAGCAACGCAAAACCGAAAAACCCTTTCATCTAGCGAGATTTTCGTCTTGCGAGGCATTCATCTTGCGGGGCACCACTGTACATTGTTAATATCACATTTTTAAGAGAAATTGTTTAATTGGGTGTTGACAATAAAAATATGGGCGCCATACTTCAGTTTTCAAACCACACTACTCTTTATTGTTAAACTCCTTAACGTATTGCCTATCCTTGACATATACAGTGGTACCTCAGGTTAAGTACTTAATTCGTTCCAGAGGTCTGTTCTTAACCTCAAACTGTTCTTAACCTGAAGCATCACTTTAGCTAATGGGGCCTCTTGCTGCTGCTGCACCTCCGGAGCATAATTTCAGTTCTCTTCCTGAAGCAAAGTTCTTAACCTGAAGCAATATTTTTGGGTTAGCGGAGTCTGTAACCTGAAGTGTATGTAACCTGAAGCGTATGTAACCCGAGGTACCACTGTACTCGGGAGCTTCAAAGCACATACATTTCAGTCATCCTGGAGGGTCAGCCAGGCGCCAAAAATGGCACCCAGACTTTTTGAGCTTGCAAATGAAGAATCTTTAGGCGCAAAATGCACCTGGCGCCCTGTTAATTTCGAACCCAGCACCAGGTGAAGGGAGAGTTTCAGAGAGCATGGGATTCACCCCTCAGCTTCCCTTGTTTAAATGTGCTGATCTTGGCTACTAGCCGAGTTCACCGGACTCGTGGCTGGAGGAGTGGGCTGCATTGACATGCCACGTTCCCCTCCATTAGTTGTGCTACTTTCTGGCTAGTAGCGATTCCAGGAAGATGAAATTATTCAGGCCTCGCTGACTGCGGGGAAATGGTTTTGGAGCTGTCCACCAAGGTAATGGAAATGGATATTGACATAAGATACATTCAAAGAAGCATTCCAACTTCAGAGTGCATGCACTTAAGTCGGCCCTGGGGAATGCAACCCAAAACCTTCCAGCGAGTTCTCAAAATCTAACTTGAAAGCTGCATTCCCTGGGCAAAGGTTGGGGAGATGCAGAAGGCTGCACTCAAAGGCTGCATTCAGTGTCTTTTCTTACAGCTTGTTCTGCAGAGAGATCTTTGCACCCAGTGTTAGAAACTCAGGTATATAACCTAGGCGCCAAATGGCTCCTTAAACCAAGGTCACAGTCGCCAAAACGGGATGCCTAGTCGCCATTTTGGGGCAAGGCGGCTCTAAAGTCTTATTTTTCAAATGGTGGACTGGCTATCAGTTAAGCATCTGGCTAGTTCAGAGAACGACCTTGAGCTAGGTTAAGAACTTGGAGACCTTGAAAAAAAGTCCCTTGATCTGGGGACAATCCCCATATCTATTGGCCTCTTCCAACCTCTTTCTTAATGGTAACACGTTCATGTTGTTGTTGTTTAGTCATTTAGTCGTGTCTGACTCTTCGTGACCCCATGGACCAGAGCACGCCAGGCATTCCTGTCTTCCACTGCCTCCCGCAGCTTGGTCAAACTCATGCTGGTAGCTTCGAGAACACTGTCCAACCATCTCGTCCTCTGTCGTCCCCTTCTCCTTGTGCCCTCAATCTTTCCCAACATCAGGGTCTTTTTCAGAGAGTCTTCTCTTCTCATGAGGTGGCCAAAGTCTTGGAGCCTCAGCTTCAGAATCTGTCCTTCCAGTGAGCACTCAGGGCTGATTTCCTTCAGAATGGATAGGTTTGATCTTCTTGCAGTCCATGGGACTCTCAAAAGTCTCCTCCAGCACCATAATTCAAAAGCATCAATTCTTCGGCAATCAGCCTTCTTTATGGACCAGCTCTCACTTCCATACATCACTACTGGGAAAACCATGGCTTTAACTATACGGACCTTTGTTGGCAAGGTGATGTCTCTGCTTTTTAAGATGCGAGGATATTCTTCACAACTGTGAAGAGGGCAATGGCAAGTGAAGCCAAGCAACAACCATTAAATATAATGTTTACTTCTCCTGCACAGAAACAGCTTTTCGGTTCCAGAAATTCATTCTGAAACCTGGAAAACCTGAACACCCACTGCCATTCAGTGAGAAATATACTGGATGGAGCCCTGATCTGGCTCGGTGTAAGGCCGTTCCCTAAGGATGTAAACAACCACTTGGTTATGGCCTGTAAGGACGGCTTCCCAGGGCACCTGTGGGCTTAGTAACTTCCATGGATTGCAAAGCTCGGAACAAATTGATGTGGTTAAAGGTTGGCACAAAGTGTTCTCGTGCGGCAACTGCGTGGTGACATGGGTTTGCAATGCTTGCCTGCTCTCAACAGATGTGCTTCCTGCTTCCTCAGCTTTTAGCCGGCATTCCATCCTGTTGCTCTTTTTATCAGGCTCTGGGGGGATCTGAATGCAGACCACCCCTCTGGAAGGCACTTTCCAAAAGGCGGCATAGAAACGAGTCTTCGGTGCGGCTGTTTTGTTTATTTGCTTTTTGCAGCACTTCCAAATCTCTTCCTGCATCGTGGGAGGAGGGGGGGCAGGTATGGACTTTGGGACGGGCTGTTTCAGTTTTGGATTCTGCCTTTGAAAAAGTGCTTCATAAACAGAGTTGCGTCTTTTTGTGTAGAAGGGGCACCTGAATTAATTGAAACTGCCCCTATAAACTGGTTTCTCTCTCTTCTCTCACCCTGCCCAGACGGAATTTCAGGCAGAATTGACAAATGCTGGTGGAAAGCTCATAGTCGTCGACTTCTCTGCCACATGGTGCGGACCATGCAAAATGATCAAGCCGTTCTTCCACGTAAGTAAGCTGCTCTGAGTCTACGGGCTGAATAAAAATCAATGAACTTTTTAAAAAAAATTAAATCAGATTTTTAAAAAATTTAAATCAGATTTTTAAAATAAAATGCTTTTGGAGCAAAAATCTTTCTAAAGATAGCTTTCTATTTAAGTTACATTATAGTCGATTATAGTCCAAAGGCTGTTCATCAGGAAATAAGGATTTGTTTTAAGTTTTTCATGTGTGCTAAAACTCAAAAATAAAATAAAATGCTTTAAATCAAGTCTTCCTGACTAGTGATTTAAATCGATTTGATTTAAATCAAATCCACCCTGAATGTCTAGTTCTCATTTTTGGGCAAGAGGGCTCTAAAGTTTTACTTTTCAAATGGTGGACTTACTATCATTTAAACATCTGGCTAGTTCAGATGTGACAAGCTTGAGGCAGGTTAAGAGCTTAGAGAACCTGGAGAAAAGTCCCTTGCTCCAGGGAAAGTCCCCATATCTATTGGCCTGTTCCTACCTCTTTTTCTTAATGGTGACATGAACCATTCATAATGTAGGAATATTCTTCACAACTGTGAGCACTGCAGTGGGACAGGGTAGGTGGAGACAAGTGACAACAGTGAGCTATCACATTGTTCACTGCTCCTGCTCAGGCTGCATTCTACAGGAAGGGATATGAGTGTGTGAAAAGATCCACAGAATGTGGAGATGTCACATGCCATCATGGCGCCCAGGCATCTTCAATGGCCCTGGTGCCTGGCTAATTTCGAACCCTGAATAGTGCTCCTATACATTTTTAAGATGGGACACTTTAATTTCCTCCCTGCCGTCCCAGCACAACAGGAGATGAGACCATTTCGTCGTCTTCTTCCCCTTGGTAGTTGCCAATCACTTCCTTTTTGCCTGCAGACCAGACTTGGCATCTTGCTCATCATGGTAGGCTGGGAAAGAGACGCCTGGAACGTGACTGAGGACTAGAATTTGTGGGAGAAACCATGGTTTCCTTAGCTCATGAGCTTGTGTGGATGGGGGATACTTGCAAATTGACACTGGTCCTGCTCAACAGCCTCAAACATCAAGAGGGTGGACTCTTGAATTGTCCCCTCAGCTTCCTTTCGGCTTTCCCGTAGCCCATGAACCATGAGGAGAAGAGAGCAGAGCAATAGAGGTTGTGCCCACTGATTCAGCTGCTTGCCCTAGCTGCCAGGGAACGAGAATGACCCATGGCCAAAGTGGAAGGCTCCCAAAGATGAACCTTGCCCAGCCTCCTGATGGATCCTCTACCCAACATGTCAACTCCTTTTATGCTCAGATTGACCCCATCATCTCTGCCACTTGCTTGGGGGTGGCTAACGGGGGCTTCCATGTATGAGAGAGTAGATAACTCACTGCTGGAAGGGAAGCTACAGGGAACCAGGCAGAGGGTCTTCTCGGTAGCAGCGCCCTCCCTGTAGAACGCCCTACTGTCAGATGGCAAGGAGATGAAGAACACAACTTTTAGAAGACATCTGAAGGCAGCCCTGTTTCAGGAAGGTTTTTAATGTTTGACATTTTATGTTTTTCTATGTGCTGGAAGCTGCCCAGAGCGGTTGGGACAACCCAACCAACTGGGCATGGTATATTATTTTTTATTATTATTATTTATTAATAATAATAATAAATAATAACCTCTCTCCTCCTCTCTAGTATAACCCTCTCTCCTTTCTTTACCCAACAGAGTCTTCTCGAAAAGTATCCGGATGTAGTGTTTATTGAAATCGACGTGGATGATGCTCAGGTAAATTCTAGAGTGCGGCTGTCAAACTAGAGGAGTGTGTGTGTGTGTGTGTGTGTGTGTGAGAGAGAGAGAGAGAGAGAGAGAGAGAGAGAGAAAGAAAGAAAGAAAGAAAGAAAGAAAGAAAGAAAGAAAGAAAGAAAGAAAGCTGTAGCTATGTATTTTAAGGACTTGTCTCTTGGGGAAACTCTCACACTTTGCAGAGGGTTCTGGACAATGTCCTCCTAGGGGGCAGGGTGGCACTCAGACTTCGTTGCCAAGTATTCAGCTTGGGACCAGGACCACCTGAAGCATGGTCTCACCCCTTTTAGACCGACTGGATCACTGCGATCTGCGGAAGGGTCCTCTTGCAGATGCCCATCTTATCAAGAGGTCTGTTCTGCGCAACACAGGGATCAGCCTTTAGTGCTCTGACACCCAAACTCCAGAATTCCCTCTCCTTGAACACTCAACGGGCTCTGCCTCTGTTGTCTTTTCGGCGCCTGCTGAAGACCTTCCTCTGTCAACAAGTTGTTTCAGTTGTGGCCTTTCCCTGGTCTGTGTTGGGAATGCTTTTAGGATATATCATTGTTTAGTCACGTGCTGTTTGCCACCCTGGTCTCCTTTGGGAGAAAGGGTGTCATATATGTTTAACGAACAACCCCAGGCTTCACCAGAACAAACTGAAAACAGCTTCATGCTATCGCAATCCCAGAAATAAGGATGGAACTATGTAAAGGTGAACCCGGGCTTTTAAAACTGCTCGAAATGCAGAATTTCTCTTGCCAAGGAGCCCTGGGAATTTGTAGCTTGGCCAGTGCTGACCATTCCATTCTCAAGCCTTGGCTTCACAGAACTAAACTTCCCAGGCAAGAGGGAATTTACTGTTTAAACTGGCTTCACTACGTGGTGTGGTAGATAGGGTGTGATATTTTGCAATTCTCTGCATTTACCCAGCTGCAATTTACAAAATTCTTTTTTTGGGGGGGGGTGGATATTAAAATGGTATAGAACTTTAGAATAAATATTGGCTATTCCTCCATTAGCCTAAGGGCAGGCAAGCATGACATTGTGCAATTGGAACATTGCTGTTCCATAGTTTTTATTCCCCTATGGCTAAGAGAAATGCAAATGGGCGACTTGTGCATAATATGGTTTGCCTTGGTGCAGGCAAAACTTAAGGTCCACAAATGACAACATTTTGGAGGTCCCAGGTCGCAAGGTGGTTAGATTGGTCGCAACTAGGGCCAGGGCCTTTTCAGTACTGGCCACGACTTGGTGGAACGCTCTGTCACAAGAGACCAGTGCCCTGCGGGACTTGACATCTTTCTGCAGGGCCTGCAAGATGGAGCTGTTCCGCCTGGCCTTTGGTTTGGACTCAGTCTGACCTTTATGTTCCCCTCCCCTTATGGTTTTGATCTATGGGCTACTTTTAAAATGAGGCTGCATTTTAGATTGCATTTTAACCTGTATTTTAAATTCCCCCCCCCCATTATGAGTTTGCTGTAATTTTACTGGTGTTAGCCGCCCTGAGCCCGGCTCTGGCCGAGCAGGGTGGGGTATAAATATTTATTATTATTATTATTATTATTATTATTATCATTTATTATTAAATGAGCTGCAGCTTCTTCCTTGCCTTGTGGAAAATATCCCTGTTGCATCTTATTCTTCTCCTTCCCTCCCTCTCCTCTCCCCCTCCCCCTCGAATCTTTATAAGTGGTTCAGCTTCTTTTCACGTTTTCCTGATCTTGGGTACCAACTCCTGTGCTCACCTGAGACTAATACAGATAACCTCTTTCATCTCCTCTAGGATGTTGCCGCTCACTGTGACGTCAAGTGCATGCCAACATTCCAGTTCTACAAGAACAATCAAAAGGTATGTGTAGTCCCACATTTCCAGCAAAACATCTTGGGGGTGGGGGCCGTGGGACGCCACCTCCAGAATTATTATTTTTGGGTGGGGAAGGGAGGCACTATATTCAGTTGTTGGGGGTCTTGTGAGGCATCCCTCTTGGCTCAACCTACCTGGATTTCTGCCCTCCCTACCCAACACTCCGTACAAGGTTGTATATACAGTGGTGCCTTGCTTCTCAAACTTAATCCGTTCCGGGAGTCTGTTCGACTCCCGAAACATTTCGAAAACCAAGACGCAGCTTCCGATTGGCTACAGGAGCTCCCTGCACGCAGTCAGGAAGTTGCGGAAGCCGTGTCGGCTGTTTGGCTTCCGAAAAGTGCTTGCAAACCGGAACACTCGCTTCCGGGTTTGTGGCATTTGGGACCCGATTTCTTTGGGAGCCAAGCCGTTCGGGAAACAAGGTACCACTGTATACAGTGACACACACCTGGTGGCAAAGGGATAATAATAATAATAATAATAATAATAATAATAATAATAATTTATTATTTATACCCCGCCCATCTGGCTGGGCTTCCCCAGCCACTCTGGGCGGCTTCCAAAAAAATATTAAAATACTATAATGCATCAAACATTAAAAGCTTCCCTAAACAGGGCTGCCTTCAGATGTCTTCTAAAAGTCTGGTAGTTGTCGTTCTCTTTGACATCTGGTGGGAGGGCGTTCCACAGGCAAGGTGGCACTACCAAGAAGGCCCTCTGCCTGGTTCCCTGTAACTTGGTTTCTCACAGTGAGGGAACTGCCAGAAGGCCCTCGGTGCTGGACCTCAGTGTCTGGGTAGAACGATGGGGGTGGGGACGCTCCTTCAGATATACTGGACGAAGGCCGTTTAGGGCTTTAAAGGTCAGCACCAACACTTTGAATTGTGCTCGGAAATATACTGGGAGCCAATGTAGGTCTTTCAAGGCCGTGTTCTGGATTAGTTGTAGTTTCCGGGTCACCTTCAAAGGTAGCCCCACGTAGAGTGCATTGCAGTAATCCAAGCGGGAGATAACCAGAGCATGCACCACTCTGGCGAGGCAGTCCGTGGGCAGATAGGGTCTCAGCCTGCGTACCAGATGGAGCTGGTAAACAGCTGCCCTGGACACAGAATTAACCTGCGCCTCCATGGACAGCTGTGAGTCCAAAATGACTCCCAGGCTGCGCACCTGGTCCTTCAGGGGCACAGTTTCCCCATTCAGGACCAGGGAATGCCTGTTGAGTCTACCTCTGAGGCTTCAGGCGCCAGATTTCATCATGTGCATCGCTTGTTAGGTTATGGGTAGCAGTGGCTGTGGCCGGGGGAATACTGCAATTCTCTGGCAGGATTCAAAATTAGCCAGGCACATTTGTGACTGGCGGGGGTCCCATTTCTGCCACGTGGAGATATCTGGGTGCCATGCTGGCAACAGACAACTCCACCTGGCTGGTCCCTCCAGCTTTCTTGAGCAGGTAAGTAGAAAAGCTTATTTATTTCATTTATAGCCCCCTCCTCAGTTAATCCCTGCAACAACCCTGTGAGGTGGGTTAAGAGGCTGCGACTAGCTCCAAGGTCACACAGTGAGCTTCAGGACGGAATGGAGATTTGAACCCTGGTCCCCCAGGTCCTGGTCTGACACTCTAACCACTAAACCACACTGCCTCCCTAGAGTACTTCTGCTCTGGGGCAGCTTTATAAATTAAGCAGATAAATAAATAAATAAATAAATAGGGGGGAAGCAAAATGTTCCTTAGAGAACGATCTGAAATATTTTCCTTGAAGCTTGAATTTGTTTTATTCCAGATTGTTTTATTTGATGTTTTGATGTGCTCTCAACCACTTTAGAGATTTTTCCTTTAAAATATAAAGCAGCGTAGAAATGAGGAATAACGATAAAATCTTGCTGATTAAAAGGTACATTTGTTTGTGGTGATGGAACCTTGGTTTAAGGTGCCATATATATGTGTGTGGGATGTTATTAGGGTTTATAGAGAAAAGTACAAAACTTCCTCTTTTTTTGTCCAAACTGAAACTTATCTAAATGCAATAAAAACAAAGAGGAGGAGGAGAAAGGAGTAAAGAAAAATATTTAATTTAAAAAAAAGATTAAGAGGGAGAAAATAAAATTCAGAAGGGACTTCCGATTCTTCTGTCTGCTATATGTAAACAACATTCACTTCTTCTACTCCAATAGAACACCCAACAATTAGTCTTATATGTTTGAGTTTCTAACACTGCACAAGTAATAACAAAAGTGGAATTCTGAGGTTAGGATGAATGACAGAGAGAGAGGCTGGAAACTGAGAATGAAGCTGCTAAGAAACCTGTGTCTGGTGACTTCTGTCTGGAACGGGAGAAAATTACAATCGTCTTGACATGAAAAGCACGCATCTTTTGAGCGTCCATAAACTATAAGTGTTAGCAAGTGTGCATTTCTGTGTGACTTTGAATGCACTCAATTTGTCTGCTTTCTTACTTCAAAAGTGATGGTTTGAAAGAAAGGCCTGAACTTGGAATTCCTGTATTTCAGGTGCATGAATTCTCTGGAGCGAACAAAGAGAAGCTGGAAGAAACCATCAAGAATCTAAAGTAACCTAACCCACAGATTCCTAAATAATAAAAAAAGTGCTGACTGTTAAATTATAGCCTTTTCTACATAATGAACTGATCAAGTTAGATCATGTATCCAAATACACTTTTGACTCGTTGGCCTGTAAATGAGAAGAATAAAAATGTATAAAACGGGTGTCGCTGCATGAATCTTGTGGCTTCGCTGTTAAAAAACACAAGTGTCAGCTATGTATTCCTTTATTACAGCTGTCAGTAAGAAAGTAAGCAAATTTAGAAGAAAGCAGAGTTTAAAACTTAAGGAAAACAACCTTGTTGGGGGTTAGTTTTACATTGAGCTGAATGCATGGCGCCAAAATATTATGGGTATGTTTAACAGGTGGTAGCAATTTATTTATTTTTTTAAGGGCTCAAAACAATTGTAAGCTGCCCTCAACCAAGACCCCTTTCCTTAGGGTATGGACAACATGTAATCAATATGTTGGTTTACCTAAGTCATTTTTATTTCAAAATACCCACACATTAAAAGAATAGCCCAGCATTAATTTTGTAACCTCCACTATGGATTGGAAGGAAGGTGTTTTTGAGCATCCTTATGGGGACAATAAAATCTCTCCCCCGCTCATACCAGATGTTTTCCAGAAGAAAAATGGTTGCAGGCTTGTAAGGTAATAAAAGAGGACAGAGGATTCTACACATGCCTCTACCACTCCTTAAAATTGGACATCCTACTTACTACAAATCTTTCCCAACACCTAACCCTTAGAGCACACGGGCTCAGGCTTTCAGCATATTCGTGTTACGCAAGCAACGGGAGCAAACTGGCATGTTTATGAATGAGATTTTGGCAGTTAAAAGAGGGAGTAGTCATTTATTGTGCTGAATTTCTTGCCAGAGTAAGCCACGTGCCCGTCAGACTTTTAGGACCGCCTTCCCAGTGTTTTCTCCTTTGAGCATTCCCATGAATGCTGCCGGCATGTTTTCAAAGCCCTGGGTGATGTGTTCTTGGCACTTAATTTTCCCCTGTACAAAACAAAAAAAAATGGGTTTTAGATTTCAGTTTGTTTCTAAACAATCCATGAAAAAGTTTCCACTTTAATTTACTGTATCAGGGTGGGGGCACTGAGCCAGGTTAATAATAATAATATTTATACCCCGCCCATCTGGCTGGGTTTCCCCAGCCACTCTGGGCGGCTCCCAACAGAACACTAAAAACAGAATAAAACTTCAAAAAGGTTTTTTATTCTTCTAAAAGTCAGATAGTTGTTTACTTCCTTGTCATCTGATGGGCGGGCGTTCCACAGGGCGGGCGCCACCACCGAGAAGGCCCTCTACCTGTTTCCCGTTAACCTGCCTTCTCGCAGTGAGGAAACCACCAGAAGGCCCTCGGAGGTGGACCTCAGTGTCTGGGCAGAACGATGGGGGTGGAGACGTTCCTTCAGGTATACAAATACCCAGCTGCCCCACTTTTCACCTGGGGTAGCACAGACACTCCCAACCCTCTCTCTCATTCAGGGGAGGGGTTCTTTTATCTCCAACTGTTGTAGGCTCTTACCGCTCATGGCAGCCAAAAAACTTGCTTCCCTTCCCCACCAAAAAATTATATTTCAGTCCGGTATGAGGTGATGGCACCTTGGTTCTCATGGTGACCCCTGAATTAGGCTGAAGCCCAGAGGAAAACCCCTCTTTGGGGTCGACCTTCCATGTTTTCCCAGTTTGACTTTAAGTTGCTTCACAGCAGGAATGTACAGTGGTACCTCGGGTTACATACGCTTCAGGTTACACACTTCGCTAACCCAGAAATAGTGCTTCAGGTTAAGAACTTTGCTTCAGGATGAGAACAGAAATCGGGCTCCGGGAGCGCAGCGGCATCAGCAGGCCCCATTAGCTAAAGTGGTGCTTCAGGTTAAGAACAGTTTCAGGTTAAGAACGGACCTCCGGAACAAATTAAGTACTTAACCTGAGGTACTACTGTATACACTTCCAGGTTTGCCATGACCGTAACCCGAAGACCCCGTATGTAGAGGGATCTGAGAGAGATTCGCTGTCCCAAGAGTTTCAAAAATTACGAAACCTCTATCACAATATGGACTTCAAACTGCTTTCGGATGATATACTGCCCAGCCCTAACGCACATCATGATTCATGATATATTGCCAGGCCATAAATTATGAGACCAATATCACAATACGGACTTGGGTCAAGCTTCACAATTCTAAGGTCCAAAGACAACACAGAACAAACTTACCTCTGCGACCCATTTCAACAGTGCCGTCAAACCTTCCTCTCTCCTGTCCGCCCAGCGCTGGACGACGAACCCTTCCATGCGCAGCTCTTTTAGGATCATCATAAGCTGCATATAAGGTCCTGGAAGAGACATGAGGGAAAAGAGTTAGTGAAATTTGCACGCTACAGGCAGTTTGCACCAGCTTTAGCTTCATGTTAGAATTGCACAATTGGAAGGGACATCGGACATCATTTATTCCAACCCCCCAAACTCAGCGCAGGGTGCAAATACTAGTCATGGCTCAGTGGCGGAGTTATCTTGCGGGGTCAATGCCTGGTGTCTCCATGTAAAGGTAAAGGGACCCCTAACCATTAGGTCCAGTCGTGGCTGACTCTGGGGTTGCAGCGCTCCTCTCGCTTTATTGGCCGAGGGAGCCGGCGTACAGCTTCCAGGTCATGTGGCCAGCATGACTAAGCCGCTTCTGGCGAACCAGAGCAGCGCACGGAAACGCCGTTTACCTTCCCGCCAGAGCAGTACCTATTTATCTACTTGCACTTTGACGTGCTTTCTAACTGCTAGGTTGGCAGGAGCAGGGACCGAGTGACGGGAGCTCACCCCGTGGCGAGGATTCGAACCACCGACCTTCTGATTGGAAAGTCCTAGACTCTGCGGTTTAACCCACAGTGCCACCCGCGTCCCTTGGCATCTCCAAGTAGGACTGGCAATTTCCCCTGCCTGAAACTTCAGAGCCACAACCGGTCAGGGTTGACAATACTGAGCAAGACAGGCTAATGGTTTGACTTGTTGCAAGGAGACTTCCTACATTCCTGTAGTTTTCATGGCAAGCTTCTATCACTGCCTGGGAGACCAAGGCAGCGTGCAAGCTCATTTCTCTTCAAAAAAAGGAAATCAAGCGTATTTTTCAATACAAACAAGTGTCTTCCCCCCATCTTTTGGCAAATCCAGTTGAGCAAATATTTCAGCTGCACAGTTAATGCAGGCTTTTCCTAACTGATAACTTGTGTCCCCCCCCCCCCCGTTCTTCCCCTTCATAATCCAGAGGTGCATCTGCACTAGTGGTTTAAGATAGAATAGCCGTGCTTGGTCCCTCTCACTTCTTACTTTTTTCATCACCAAATTGCTTTCCTCCTCCCTGTTTTCCCTGTGCTTCTTCCTGTAAAATGGAGGAAAAGTTGGGGAAAGGAACCTGATGGAGCAGAAGGTCAGGCAACTCAGTCACCTTGGAACTGCCAGGAGGAAAGACGCCATCTTTGACCAAAGCCCAGTTAACTATTGTTCCACAACTTCCCATTCCAGCAGAGATCGCAGGGCTTTCACATAATCCTGTTGCACAGCTCCCCCTAACAGTCAAAATAAGCTCAGAGCAGAACTGTTGTTTTTTAAAATAAATTTTAAAAAGCCCACAAAAAACTGCGCTCTTCACTTTGTCATTCTTACCAACAGCCCTGTGAAGTAGGCGACATTGAAACACTGCCTCTTGCTTAATTCTGCCTAAACTGTACAGCTAGGTAAAGGTAAAGGGACTCCTGACCATTAGGTCCAGTCGTGACCGACTCTGGGGTTGCAGCGCTCATCTCGCTTTATTGGCCAAGGGAGCCGGCGTACAGCTTCCGGGTCATGTGGCCGGCATGACTAAGCTGCTTCTGGCAAAACCAGAGAAGCGCACGGAAATGCCTTTTATGTTCCCGCCGGAGCGGTACCTATTTATCTACTTGCACTTTGACGTGCTTTCGAACTGCTAGGTTGGCAGGAGCAGGGACCGAGCAACGGGAGCTCACCCCGTCACGGGGATTCGAACCGCTAACCTTCTGATCCGCAAGTCCTAGGCTCTGTGGTTTAACCCACAGCGATTTTTAACCGAGGTTTCTAGGCCCGATACTCTTTTTCATTACATCCCAGCGGTTGAAAGGAGTAACCGTGGATGCCAATCGCAAACCAGTGATTAGCAAATTTCGCTACCGCTTCCAAGTGCTTTGCAAGAGGAATGGTGAGCTGACTTGTACCAACGGTCCCAATGACTTCAGAAGACTAGGAGTGTTTGGAAACTGCGGCAGGGAAGAGGGGGGAGCCAGTTAACTCAACTAGAAGCCAACTAGAAGCCTGAGTTTCAATTGCTCAACTGTGCTACTACGATAAGGGGGAATGCTGAAATTATTTTCAAAGCAGCAGCAAGTGGTTTTTTATATATATATATAAATTTTTATTAATTTTTCAACTTAACATTTTCAACAGTAATTAAACATACTTTCATTTCTTACACCATTTTTTTTTACTTCCACCAATCACATCTGACAATTTCCCCATCTAATCACTTAATATACATTTCTTACTTCCACTATTACATTTAACTCTCAAAACTAGCATCTCTCTTCTTTCTCCTCTTTGCAATATTTCATATATTTCTCCTTACAAAACGTCTAGTCCTGCTAGCATAATTTGTTGATTACAGTAGCAGCAAGTGGTTTCTAACTCACTACGGACCTCTTGTGGTGTCAAACTACTCTGCTCCTCAAATAGGTATTTCAGAAATGTTGCCCGTATGGCCTTATCAAGCTACACTGAATGCTGATATACAAAGGATCCCTAAAAAGATCCAGCAAACGTTATAGCCTTTGTTGTTGTTTTTGAGCAGGAGCTGCTGTCGTCTACACTCAGGTTGTTCCACACACTAACCCAGGGGTCGGCAAACTATGGCCCAGGGGCCAGATGCGGCCCACCGGGCTCGTAAATCCGGCCTGCGGACCCTGCCGCCCGCTCGGTCAGTCCCCGCGTTAAACCAGCGCAGTGCAGAGGCCTCGCCATGCGGGGACTGACTTCCACAACGCTGGCGTGGCTTTCAATTGGCTGCAGGAAGCTCCTGCAGCCAATCCAAAGCCGTGGACACCTCTGGGTGACGCCCCTTCCTTCCCACTGAGGCGGCCATGTATGGCCAAGAGCAGAAAGGGAGGAAGCTGCAGCGGCAGGGAGGCTGCTTCTGCCACCCAGACCAGCAGCATGGGCTCTGCACCCCGCAGACCCCTGGCAGAGGCAGAGGACGATGACGACGACGCTGCTGAAGACGAGGTGGCGGTGGCATGAGGGGCGGGTCCTTTCAGGAGAAGGTGGGTCTGGCCCCCCACAAGGTCTGAGGGACAGTGGACCGGCCCCCTCCTGAAAGGTTTGCTGACCCCTGCACTAACCGTTTCTCACTGCCTCCATTTCCATTTTTCACTGGAGGCAGTGAGAGGTTTTACTTTCTTGGGCTCCATGATCACTGCAGATGGTGACAGCAGTCCCAAAATTAAAAGATGCCTGCTTCTTGGGAGAAAAGCGATGACAAACCTAGACAGCATCTTAAAAAGCAGAGACATCACCTTGCCAACTAAGGTCCGTATAGTTAAAGCCATGGTTTTCCCAGTAGTGATGTATGGAAGTGAGAGCTGGACCATAAAGAAGGCTGATCGCCGAAGAATTGATGCTTTTGAATTATGGTGCTGGAGGAGACTCTTGAGACTCCCATGGACTGCAAGAAGATCAAACCTCTCCATTCTGAAGGAAATCAGTCCTGAGTGCTCACTGGAAGGACAGATCCTGAAGCTGAGGCTCCAGTACTTTGGCCACCTCATGAGAAGAGAAGACTCCCTGGAAAAGACCCTGATGTTGGGAAGGATGGAGGGCACAAGGAGAAGGGGACGACAGAGGACGAGATGGTTGGACAGTGTTCTCGCAGCTACAAGCATGAGTTTGACCAAACTGCGGGAGGCAGTGGAAGACGGGAGTACCTGGAGTGCTCTAGTCCATGGGGTCAGGAAGAGTCGGACACGACTAAATGCCTAAACATCAAAACACTAACCGTTTAAAATGGAATTGCCATCCTTCATTGACTCATGTTTTAGGGCAAACCCAGACAATGCCACTGAACCATTGCATCGCTGAGCTTTCTATGTGTTGTCTTCTTGTAGAGCCCAATTCAAAGTGCTGGTTTTGACCTATAAAGCCTTAAACAGCTCAGGACCACACTACCTCAAGGACCGCCTCTTCCCATATGAGATCATCTTCTGAGGCCCTCCTTCGTGTGCCGTCTCCTTGAGCGCCCGGAGGGTGGCAACACGAGAACGGGGCCTTCTCTGCAGTGGCTCCCTGTCTGTGGAATGCTCTCCCCAGGGAAGTTTGCCTGGCACCTTCATTATACATCTTTAGGCAACAGGCAAAAACATTCCTTTTGGTCGATCTGTTTGACATCCTATGCCCCCCCTTTTTTTAAAGGGGGTGTATTGGGTTGTTGTTTTTATTTTTATTATGTATTTTGTGATTTTATACCTTGATTTTATTCTGTGAACTGCCGAGACCCCTGGGTATAGAGCTGTATATAAATTCAACAACAACAACAATAATAATAGTAAGTTGGAAGGGACCGCAATGGTCATCTAGTCCAACCTTCTGCAATGCAGGAATCTTTTTGCCCAATGTGAGGCTCAAACTCACAACCTTAAGATTAAGTGCTCTACCAACTGAGCTATTGGACTTTCAATTAAAAGCTTCCATTGGCAGTTTCTGGCAGTTGTTTTGCCTGTTAAACATGGCAATGGAATTCCTGAAGAACAGCCCCATTAAATTGCAAAGTGTGACCTATGTAAGCATTATAAACTTGTGCCTTTATCAGCCCGTGACCCTTTCACCCCAGAAGCTATAAAGCAACAGACAAAAATAAAAATACAAGTTTTACCTGTTTGGGGCACTGTGTCATTGTACAAGGAGATGGCGCCACACACAGCAATTCTCCCAAATTTCTTCATCTGGCCCAGGGCAACAGTTGAAAACTCGCCTCCGACCTGTTCAGATAAAGACCGTTACAATGTGCCATGATGCAATGCATTGAAACAAACACTAAGGGGTTTCTGCTACAATTTCCAGCACATACTGTACATTTCCCAGTATTCTTTGGAGGAAACACATGACTGCTAAACTGGTGCATGCATGCGTTATTAAATGCATGGTGTGCATGTGGATTTGACCACAGTATCTTTCTCTTTTCTCTCTCCATTCAGGCAGGCTGGCCACTTTTAATTTTTTTGGTGAGGGGAGGTAGGTGCCCCCCCCCCAAGCACTTTGCATGCATATCTGCTTAAATAAAATCGACTTCGGAGTTTGGACACTCTGACAGTATTCTTTACTATTGAAAAACTACCCAGAAGGGGAGGAAGGTTGCTTTGTGTACTGGAAACCAAGCCATGGGTGGATCTACACACGGGGGGGGGGGGAGGACTCTATAAATAAGTCAGAAATTAAATTGTTATAACAAAGGTGGGGGGGCACAATGTAAAAAAATGTATAGAAAATGTTTTCTCTCTGGTGCCATCTAGTGGTGCGTGTTTGTAAGGAATTCAAAACATCATTTGAATTCAACCGTTAAGAGGAACGGTTGAAGGAACTAGGTATGTTTATAGTCTGGATAAGAAGAGCTACAATTCCCAAAGCTCCCTAGAAACAGGAACTGCCTGTTAAACCATTTTAGGAATTGTACCTCTAGAGGTATGGTAAAAACTCTCAGTGCCCTTTACAAATGACAGTATCCAAGTAGTACAATACTGCTTTGAGCGTATTCTGCGGATGGGGCCAAAGTTTTCAAACCGAAAAAATTTGCTGCAAGCAGTATCTCTTATTTCCAGGAAATTGAGGAGGTCAGGAACCAGGCCCCTGCAGTTATACGTTGGGAAGATCAAACTGGCAAGTCAATGCAGGTGTTCAAGTTATTCCAGGCAGGCTTGTTTTTACAAGGTAGGCTTCTCTGGTTCAGCACACAAATCTTAGCTCCAACTTGCTGCAGGTGTGTAAGTCACTGTTGCTCGCTTAGCACCTATCCCGCCTGACATGTATGATCTAGCTGAGATTCCTGGATTAGAGCAGGTTGGACTAGATGACCCTAGAATGACCCCTTTCCATCTCTACGATTCTTCACATTGGGGACAGCCTCAGGCTGTTGTTTGACCAACACCAAGGATGTTTTGCAGTTCACTTGCTACAGTGAAGTCTGTGCACTTGCATAACCTTGCTCTAGGGAGGTTAGACCAAAAGCTTTTTACAGCGTCCCACCCCAAACAAGCGAACAATACCAAAAAGCTTTCCTTCAATCAGGGGTGGAGCGTGCGGGGGTCCCAGGAGGCACAATTTTTAGGGGGGGTGAACCAGGCGTCCCCATCCTGCCCTGCTTGTTTGCTAGGGGTCTCTGGGACCCGGAGCCTGGCCTCGCATCCGCATCCCCGGGCCCCTTGCTGAATGGTCGCCCGGCCAGCGCCAGGGGGACTCGACCGTGTGACGTTGACATATGAGAGTGCTGGAGGTGAAATAGTTAAACAGGTTACCCAATCAGAACCCAGGGGGTAGATCAGAGAGACTATAAAACCAGCTCTGGGAGGGCCAAAGGGAGGAGTTTGTCGGGAGTTGGGTGGTTGGTTGGAATGGGAGTGAATTGGGATAGAGTCTGTGGGGAGGCTGAGTTAGTGTAGCGAAATAAGCTGGGTCAGGAACAGTTAGGAGCTAGGAAGACAAGTAAATATCTGAGAGGTGGTTTAGTGAGAGAGAGCAAGTAGTGGAAGTTATAAGTCTGGATAGGAACCCCATGTTTGTAATTGACCGATACCGATTATGAAACCACACGCTTGTTGAACTGCAATAAATAAACAAAAGTTTATGTTCCAATTTAACCCTGACTGGACTCAGCATTGTACCAGGTAGGGCCTGGGTGGTGGCAGTGAGAAATAAAGTGGTGGCACAGGAATCAATAGACGGTGAAATGTCCGGGGACCCTGTGTGATCGCCACAGACCGCCAAGGGCCGCACCGGCTGGCTGGGCTCATTCCTGTGTGAGTAGCTGGCACAGTGCAGCCCTGCTTGGCTTCAGCTGCAAGGGCTTGGCCATGGGCTCCATAAGCCCTCCATGCCCCACGTGCCCACCTGGCAACATTGGCATCGGCGGCTGGGGCGGTGGGTTCTGTTCACCCTCCACACCACCCCCCAGTGTGCATGCGCACACGCCGTAGGTGCCAGCAAACGGCGCAAACGGCCTCCGCATTTCAAGAGTTGGCGCTCCGTTTGAGCTTACGTTGTCAAAGTAGCAGTCGTAGCCGTCGGGCGAAGCTTTCTTCAGGGCCTCTTCCAGAGACCCCACCGTCTTATAGTTGAAGGCTTCATCATAGCCAATTTCTTTGAGGAAGGCCACTTTCTTGTCCGAACCTGCACAGCCAACCACTTTGCAACCCTGCAGGATAAAGAGAAGTTATATAACGCTTCCTCGCACTGCTCGTGCCATTTCCAAACCCATTTGTTTTTCACGCCATTCAGGAAACCATCACAACGCTACATGCTCAAAAGGAAACCGGACCCACAGCTTTCTTCCTGCCATTTCTCATCCATGCTCCTCTTTGGAGCGCTGCAGCGTCCTTAATTCTCCTGACTGTGCAAGCCGAACGAGCCCATGCACGATAAACAACTCTACTTTGCAAGAAAGGAACGTGCACACACCTTTTTTAAGGTTCAGGGTGGGTGGATCACAGTAGTTTTGTCCTAAGTTCGTTCTCTCTCTCTCTCTCTCTCTCTCTCTCTCTCTCTCTCTCTCTCACACACACACACACACACACACACACCATTACATTACACACTTTCTTTTAAAAAAATGTTTATCTAGTCTCCAAAGATACTCAAAAACCCTTGTCGTACAGTAGGGCTGCCACATGTCTAGAATTTCCCAGACACATCCAGGATTTATCCGATGGAAATAGCGTTGGCCAGCCCACATTGGAAGTGTGGATTTTTTGGCAAATTTCCTAAGAAATAGCTCAAGAAAGAACTTATCTTTGTGGGGGGAGGTAGATTTTGCAAAAAAACGAAAACCCAACTTTGCCCCCCCCCCCAAAAAAAATAGCTCAACCACTTTTGTGTCTGGATTTTCATTTTGAAATATGGCAACCCTGGTGTGTGTGTTTTTAACACAATTTCTTCCTGACTTCCCACCCCTCCTTTCCTGATGTTTTTATTCCTCCTTTTTATTAGCGGTTTTAAAACACGTTCATTATCCAAGCCCCGATGTCGTCAATTATTTTAATAACCCGCTGCTTATATTTCAAATCTCTCTCTCTCTCTCTCTCTCACACACACACACTCACATTATGTACTTTCTTGTCCCGTTCCCCATCAAATCAAGGGGTGCAGAGATGTAATAATAATAATAATAATAATAATAAATTATTTATACCCTGCCCTTCCCGGTTCAGAAAACCGGGCTCAGGACGGCTAAGAACAAATTTAAAACAGTTAATTGATGCAACCAAAAACAGCATAAAATACAGTATAAAACATGAATAACAGTAAGTTCAGAATTCAAAAATCAATTTAGGGGGAAATCCATCCAATAAACATTAGATGATCACCAGGGCTAACTGGCTAAATTAGTCCTATTTGGGCCAGCGAGGAGAACAGGGGAGAATTAGCTGTGGGATCCCAGAGCGGGGTAGTCTTCATAAAAAGGGGAAGGGGAGGGTAGGAAGGGGAATAAAAGATCAGGCTAAGTTCAAATTGAAAGCCAGACAAAATAGCTCTGTCTTACAGGCCCTGCAGAAGGAAGTTAAATCCTGCAGGGCCCTGGTCTCATGGGACAGAGCATTCCACCAGATCGGAGCCATCACTGAGAAGGCCCTGGCCCTGGTGGATAGTCTGACTTCCTTAGGGCCCGGGACCTCTAAACTATGATTATTCATGGACCTTAAGGTCCTCTGCAGGGCATACCAGGAGAGGCGGTATGTACTGCCTGGGACACTTCCTCCGAGTCCCCCTGCCCTTTCTGCTCTGGGCCCATAATACCAACGTGTTTTTCCACGACCGCTTACCTTTATTTTTGCGATCTGCCCGGCCACACTCCCCACAGCCCCAGCTGCAGCGTTGATCAGGACGGTATCTCCAGGTTTCAGCTGACAGATCTCAAGCAGGCCAAAGTAGGCAGTGAGCCTGGGAGGGAGAGAGGGGAGGGAGGGAGAAAAAGTTAGCTTGTCAAGGATGTCGAAGGGAGCATGGCGTCCTTCTCACACCAACCTCCCCAAGCTGCTTTGCGAGGCTGGTACCACTCTGGCAGTGGCGAGGGTTGGGCTGGCATTCGGTGGGCTCCCTTTGCCCTCTATATCCCCCCCCCGGTGCAGACAGCTCCCATTGCTCAGTCTCTGCTTCTGCCAACCTAGCAGTTCAAAAGCATGTCAAAGTGCAAGTAGATAAATAGGTACCACTCCAGTGGGAAGGTAAACGGCGTTTCCATGCGCTGCTCTGGTTCGCCAGAAGTGGCTTAGTCCTGCTGGCCACATGACCCGGAAGCTGTACGCCAGCTCCCTCGGCCAATAAAGCGAGATGAGTGCCGCAACCCCAGAGTCGGCCACGACTGGACCTAATGGTCAGGGATCCCTTTACCTTTAAATACAGTGGTACCTCAGGTTACAGACGCTTCAGGTTACATATGCGTTAGGTTACAGACTCCGCTAACCCAGAAGTAGTTAAGAACTTTGCTTCAGGATGAGAACAGAAATCACGTGGCGGCGGCAGCGGGAGGCCCCATTAGCTAAAGTGGTACCTCAGGTTAAGAACAGTTTCGGGTTAAGAGCGGACCTCCAGAACGAATTAAGTTCTTAACCCGAAGTACCACTGTATATCCATAAAAAGGGGACATTATGGGGGGCAGGCTTGGGTCGTGGGGGCGGAACCTCCGTTAATTGAGTGCTTTCAATGCTTTTCAATGGCTTTTGTGGATCTGGAGTGGGGAGAGCTACACAACCGGGTCTATGCCTTCTCACATGTGGCACAAGCGCCACGATGCGTTAGTGCCCAAAAGTGAGTGAAAGCAACACACTTGAAGCTCATCCCCAACGCTTCTGTGCCACTTCCAAGGCTACTCACCCAGGCATGCCAATAGCTCCCAGAGCCAAAGATCGGGGCAGTTTTTCCGGCCAGTTAGGTAGCATAGGAAACAGCTCTTTGCTTGTGGAGATGAAGTGAGTTGTCCAGCCTGCTCTCGCTAGGGCGAAGGAACCCACAGGGAACGTGGGGCACTTGCTTTCCAGAACTCTATATATATTTTTATGTTAAAAAAAAAAAAAAGCACAGTTGCATCAGCAAAACTGCTCTGCGTACAGCAAAGTGAAAGCAGATTTTGTCATTTATATCTAAACAGGTATCAAGCAGCTGCAACAATTTACTGTGCCGAGAGAGGTACCGGAGAGGATTTTTTTGCATAGAATCGGCAGCATGCTCTCCAAAGATGGGACACAGTTTACACTGATGAGGGTGCCCCGTCTGCTCTACAGACTTAATGCAGTGCCGTACCATAGTCACACCTTCTGCCAAAGAATTGTGGGAACTGTAGTTAGTTAAGAGTCCTGAGGGTTATTAGCTGAGAGTTCTTCCCTCCACAGAGCTACAATTCCCGGAGAGGTTTAACCATCACTTCCTTTTCCCAAAATTCTTTAGGGGAAGTCACATACAATACAGACAGGGCTCCTGACACTATAGCTCAGCACTATAGCTATGCCCGGCTTCAAATCCTGCCATCCCCAGCTATGACTGAGAAAGACTGTCTGAAGCTCTGGGGAGCTGCCACTAATGGGTGTGGACTGTACTCAGATACAGGAATCATTGGTTTAAGGCAGGAAGCTGCCTACGTTTCTAATATCAATCACCACAAATCTACTAAAACACAGTGCTTTTTTCTAAAAAAAAAATGTTTAGGGGTACTCTCATTTTGACTCAAGAAAATCACCATTTTATAATTCAAATTGGGGAAAATAAATACAGTAAATGGACAAAAGTACAAAGATTCACAATATGTTTAGGGGTATGCATCCCCCCAGAAAAAAGCACTGCTAAAATATAATGTGTTCCCTGAAATCTTAATTCTTTTTCCAGTCTGTTTCTCTCCCTCTCTCACACGCACGCATGCTTGTTTAAAGAACTCCACCTTAAACATTTGCAAAGTGCAAAAGATATGCTAGAACTACTTTATATTAACTAAGACTCAATGATAGCAGCAGCAAAACAGCTAGCAACATCAGCAAAATCTTTTCACAAACACAGATATATATTGATGGAGGACCTTACTTTGCAACTTGGGATCCTAACATTGTATCCCCTTCCTTCAGATGAATCCTGCTGTATGGTCTGTAGAGAACAAAACAAAACACACCAACAAGACGGGCTTGTCAGAGAATGCCTTTGCAGGAATGGGAGCAATTTGCACCGACATTTGGGATTCGAACCCAGAACCAGCCTTTTACTATGCGTCTTGTTTTTTGCATTTATAAACTTTTGATAACCACAGCCGCTTCAAAACACAAGAGCGTGCAACAAGAGGCATGCTATCCAAGTCCATGTTTTCGTTATGGTGTATAGCTCGGAGTTTGCCAACTGACCAGAGCAATGGCCTGGCCTGCTCCTGCGCGGTCAACAACCACCTGGAGAGCAGAACTACAGAACAACTCATAGATGAATTTTACACAGTCTGTATATAAACGTTCTAAACTACCAGCATTTGCAGAGAGAAGTTGCTATTAAAGGAACTGGTAAGAATTGGTAAGATTAACAACCCTACTTATGGCAAAAGCAACAGAAACGAAATGCTAATGGCAATATAATGCATGGGTGATCAAGACCACACAGAGGACAGAATAAGCTGTTAACAATGGGCTGTAAGTCTATACTTTTTCATGAGGAACTTTCTCTACAGTGTTTGAAATTTCATAAAATTGCCTGTTGACGTTATTCAAAAGCGTGTCATAATATAGCGAAGTAGGTTCAGCTACTTCCTGGTCACGGCCTCAGCATTTGAAAGTATATTTTTATCTTATATTTTTAATGACAAATTGCTCATAGGAGAATTCCGTACAGGGATTTCAAATCCTGAAGTCGTAGGCTGTGGTGACAGACTTATCCTCTGGAAGCTTACACCAATTTACTGTTAAAACTCTGCTACAGAATAAGCTCTCAAGGGAAGACAAAAGCTGCGCTCCAACACAATGCTCAACCACAGATTCAGCTATTCTTGGGCTCACACTCTCGGTGTCCTCTTTCCTCACGGCCGTGAAGAAATTAGAAACTTCTGCTTTCGAGTAACTGTGGTTTGCTGCGATGCCTGAAACCTTGTCTGTAGTTATTTGTTATGTATGGTTAGTGGAAATGAGCCAAATTTGTTAACTATGGTTTGGAGTTGGCTTGGTTCCACTAACTATAGCTAAGACTACATAGCTACATCTTGTTGGAGTTTTGCAAACTTTCAAAACCGAAGTGAAAGATTCTGAACTCTTCTTGATGGCCACAGCGACAAAGGAGCATGCGAGAGCCTAAGGTTTGCTGTGGGCTCATTCACATCATGCGAAACTATGGTTTCGTCTTGCATCCAAACTGGCCCAGAGTTAACATTTAGTAGGGATATCTAGGCAAGAGGTGTAGCCAAGCTGTACTGCAGTTTCAGGGTTATACTTCAATGGGTAAGTCCAACAAAAAGAACAATACCTCATATATGGGTCAAGACTGAGGAACACAGTTTCAAGCAGCACCTCTGAAATACAGAATATGATAAAGTAGATTAATGGACAAACTTGACCATAGATCGGAGACAATCTTAAGTCTCTTAAATTCGTTAAAAAATAGTCACCATGGGAAGAGAGAACCAGATAGGGTTGGGGCATTTGAAAGGCTTCAGGCTGGGATCCAAGACATGTTTACTCAGTAGTAAGTCTTACTAAGTTCGAATCATAGAGTTGGAAGGGGACCAAGCGATCATCTAGTCCAACCCTCTGCAATGCAGGAACCACAACGAAAGAAACCCTATCCAGTGCTGTAGCATGGGGAGCACAGGGGCGGTTGCCCCAGTTGCAAAATGATTAGGGGTGCAAAATTTCAACCCCCGGTGCTGCCTGAATACAGCTGCACACTTCTGTCACTGTACGCCGTTGAAAAGAAGCTTTTCCATGCAAACCAGGAAGTGACCTCTCCAGACAATGACTCTTCTTTCCCTATCTCTGCAGCTGCAAACTCCTGGGTGACGTGGATGTCATTAGGCGTTGAATGTGCATGCGTACTCCACCCATTTCCCTCCCTTCCACCCGCTCCATGTGGCCCCGGGCACTGTCAACCCAAGCTACACCACTGTCCCTATCCAACCTCTGTTTAAAAACCTCCAGTGAATGAGAGAGTCTACCACCTTCTGAGACAGTTCATTCCATTATCCAACAACTCTTGACCTGTCCTGTTCTCCGGAGCAGCAGAATACAAGCTTGCTCCACCTCCCTTGGAATCAAATGCAATGAAAATCATTTCTTCTTAGCAAATGTTCAACATGCATCCTATTGAGATTCATGTTCTGATGGTGGGCCAAAATGACGAGTCACTGGATTCACCCCTTGTTTATTCACATAAAACTTTGTGAGTACAAAGGCAAAAATCCCTTTTACCTCCATCCTTCAGTGCCGGCAGTTCCACCTCTTTCAGTTCAAAATCACTGTGCTTAGGAAATCCCTCAAAGTGCTTCTTCAAGATCCAAATCTTTGCACGCACCATCTTTCACGTCCTGAGTGATCAAATAAGATTATACAAAGTTATAAACCATTAGAGGAATTGCCAGAGTGCTGCTCTCCACACTCTTTGATTGCTGAAGCAAAGGTTTGTGTGTCTCCCCAGCCCCACATTAAAACTGGGAACACACTTCTGTGATTTATTTTCTTAATCAGCTCCCTGAACAACAGGCTGGTGGGTATCCTCCTTGCAATTCCAGGATACCCCAACTAACATTATTTTCTTGCAACCTGCTCTCTTCTTTCCATTGGATGAAAGTACTGCATTTTTCAGATTTCATCATGCCTATCAGCTGTATAGCACAGCTGACAGAATCCCAATGCATCCTTCCTTTCTTTTGGGTAAAGGACTGTGGAAGAGAGCTGCGTTGAAATGGCAGATTAGTCCATTTCCCCAACATTCCCCTAACGGTTAATTTCCGCATTATACTTCAGCTTTCACATGATGTGAAATCCAATTCCAGAAATATAGCAGAATCTGGAACAAAGTTAGCACTCCTTTCTGTGTCGGTTGCAAATGGGTGCTTTTTGAAGCAACAGCGCAGAAACAAGCACTAATCCTTGCTCTAGATTTTGCTATATTTCTGGAAGCAGATTTTTACATCATGTGAAAGGGCCAAATGTAATGTAGAAGTGAGAGAAAAGTCAGGAAGTTTGAGACAAATTGTCATGTGAATATAACCTTGGTTTCCAATCACTGCCACTAGATTTTGTTTTATATACCTGCTTAAAGTCTCCTTAGACAGCCCCTCTTCTCCATCCAAGTCACTCCCTTTTAAAGATTTAAACAAGGCACTGAAATGTGTAACTAAAGGGTAGGTTTGCACACAACGATTTGTCAATCTCTCTGCCCTTTTCTTCTGTTGTACTGCAAGGAGATTGCTTTGTAACCGGAGCAGTTATGAAACCATCACTCTCTCTGTGTGAAAGGGCATTTCACTGTGAATGATCAACACAAGCTTCGTGCTTTCTCCTAGCGATTCGCTCCTGAACGGGAACATTACCTTTCGCAAGTATTATTAACAAAGCTGCTGACACACCCTGAACATTAGCATATGGAAACTTGTGGGAAACTGCAACAAAGTGTGGTAGATTAGTTTCGGCCAGAGGTGGGGAATCTGGTCTTCCAGATGTTGCAGGAAGTCCCATGAGTCCTAGAGCCAGCGTGACCAATGGACAGGGGTGGTGAAAATCCAACATCTGGAGGACCACAGGTTCCCCGGATGGTGAAAATCCAACATCTGGAGGACCACAGGTTCCCTGGATGGTGAAAATCCAACATCTGGAGGACCACAGGTTCCCTGGGTGGTGAAAATCCAACATCTAGAAGACCACAAGTTCCCCATCTCTGGACTAGACCAGTGCTATAGCAATAATTATCATACAATCATAGAATTGTAGAAATGGAAGTAGGGTTGCCATATAAAAAGGTAAAGGGATCCCTGACCATTAGGTTCAGTCGTGACCGACTCTGGGGTTGCGGCGCTCATCTCGCTTTATTGGCCAAGGGAGCCGGTGTACAGCTTCCAGGTCATGTGCCCAGCGACTAAGCCGCTTCTGGCGAACCAGAGCAGCGCATGGAAACGCCGTTTACCTTCCCACTGGAGCAGTACCTATTTATCTACTTGCACTTTGACGTGCTTTCGAACTGCTAGATTGGCAGGAGCAGGGACCGAGCAACGGGAGCTCACCCCGTCACGGGGATAGGAACCACCAACCTTCTGATTGGCAAGTCCTAGGCTCTGTGGTTTAACCCACAGCGCCACCCGCATCCCTAGGGTTGCCATATATTGAAGAGCAAAAAAGGGCAGCTCAAGCCGCTGCCAGCCCGAGTCAGGGAAAGAGGCACGTGGGGCTGCCACAGCAATGCCCGTGTGCCTCTTTCCCCAGCTCAGGCTGGCAGCAGCATGCAGATCAGCCAGAGCAGAGGCAGGACCCCAGCTCCTGATATTCGCTGCAAAGGCCTTGCTCTGCTGTGCTGCTTCTGGGGCACAGCGCCCTCCCAAGCAAGTGTGCACCCCCCAACATTTCCTTTAAATTGCAAAAAATCTACCCATATGTGCATGTTAGGGCCCCCCAAAAGAGGAGAATGTCTAATTTTCCTGGATGTATGGGAACCCAATACAGTGGTGCCTCGCAAGACGAAATTAATCCGTTCCGCAAGAGTCTTCGTCTAGCGGTTTTTTCGTCTTGCGAAGCAAGCCCATTGACGGATTAGCGCTATTAGCGCTATCAGCTGTTTAGCGGCTATTAAAGGCTTAAAGGCGTAGGGGATTAGCTGCTAAAAGGCTATTAAAGGCTATTAAAGGCTTAGCAGATTAGATAAAGGGGGGGGGAAGCGAAAAAAAATCTCAAGACTCGCAAGACATTTTCGTCTTGCGAAGCAAGCCCATAGGGGAATTCGTCCTGCGAAGCAACTTCAAAACGGAAAACCCTTTCGTCTAGCGGTTTTTCCGTCTTGCGAGGCATTCGTCTTGCGGGGCACCACTGTAATAATAATAATAATAATAATAATAATAATTTATTTATACCCCGCCCTTCCCAGTTTAAAAACCAGGCTCAGGGTGGCTAACAGCAAATATAAAACAGTGATTAAAATGCAACTTTGAAACAGCATAAAACAGAACATAAAATGCAGCATCAATATCAATAGTATTCAAAAATTCAGGGGTCATGGGGAGGGGGGACAAAACCCAGTCAGTAGACATCAAATGATCACCAGGGCAACTGGCCAAGTTGGTCCTACTAGGGCCAGCAAGGAGACTAAGGAAGAATTTAAATGTGGGGTCCCAGAAAGGGTTTCTTCATAGAAGAGGAAAGGGAAAAGGCCATAGAGGATCAGGCTAATTCAAATTGAAGGCCAGGCGGAACAGCTCCTTCTTACAGGCGCTGTGGAAGGAGATCAAGTCCTGCAGGGCTCTAGTCTCATGGGACAGAGCATTCCACCAGGTCGGAGCCGCCACTGAAAAGGCCCTGGCCCTGGTGGAGGATAGTCTGGCTTCCTTAGGGCCCGGGACCTTTAAGCTATTATTCTTCATGGACCTTGGGGTCCTCTGTGGGACATACCATTTCCTAATGGAAGTGACCCTCAGGATCCTCTAGTCTAATGCAGGAATATCCAGCTCTCCCATTACAGAGATTAAACCTGCAACCTTGGCTTTATCAGCACCACGTTCTAACCAACTGAGCTTCGGTTGCTCAGGTGTTGTTGTTGTTTTTTGGGGGGGGGGGGAGAAATTATTTTCCATCAACTAATAAGAAAAGACTCAGCCAGCAAATGGCCACATACGAAAGCTAATTTCCTTGTTAGATAAAAGATATGGATGCACATTATATGGGCAAAGGGCTGCAGCTTGGCATCTGTTTCGCATGAAAAAGGTTCCAAGTACAACTCCCAGAATCCTCAGCGAGGGCATACCTTAAACCCTGGACAAAGGCAGGTGTTGCCCACTTCAATTTGTTAATCTCTCTAGCTTATCTTCTGTCAAGAGCTTGCTTGGCTTTAATAATCAGAAGAATTATGAAACCACCACTCCCTCGAGGTCAAAGAGCATGAGCAACGAAAGCTCGATCATACATTCACCTGGTGATTCATTCCTACATGGAATGTTACGTTTTGCAAGTTTTCTCTTGCATTATGTCAAAGCTACTGACATCCTAGACGTTAATGTACAAGATGCAATTTACGGGGAAAACACAAGATGTGATAGATTTGGCCAGGGATCGTGGAATATACTCGGAGCCCTGTAGTGATTTCATGCTCTTTATTGCAGCTTGTACGCGGGTGGCGCTGTGGGTTAAACCACAGAGCCTAGGACTTGCCGATCAGAAGGTCAGCGGTTCGAATCCCCGCCACGGGGTGAGCTCCCGTTGCTCGGTCCCTGCTCCTGCCAACCTAGCAGTTCAAAAGCACGTCAAAGTGCAAGTAGATAAATAGGTACCGCTCTTTCCGTGCGCTGCTCTGGTTCACCAGAAGCGGCTTAGTCATGCTGGCCAAATGACCTGGAAGCTGTACGCCGACTCCCTCGGCCAATAAAGCGAGATGAGCACCGCAACCCCAGAGTCGGTCACGACTGGACCTAATGGTCAGGGGTCCCTTTACCTTTACCTTTATTGCAGCTTGTAAAACAGTGATTGAATTGCCCCCCAAACCTAACATAAAGGTTTTCATAATCATATAGTAAGAAAAATGCTTATAAAAGTTTGGAATAAATATGTAGACTTTCTAGAACCAAAAACCCCATGGTGGCTCTCGCCGGTGGAAGCATTAGCATTAAAACCACTTAGTAAGGGAGGAAATTGGCCGGCATATAGAGAATTATTAATAGAGGTGGAAAAAGGGTTAAGGCTGAAAGGATATGAGGAACTGAAGACCTTTTTACAAAGTTGGTTACATCATAGACAATTGAATGAACAGTTTAAGGAAGACAGTAAGAAAGGTTTTAGTTATACAGTTTCAAACTTTCAAAAAGAGATAGTCGAGAGTGGCACGAAATTACTTAAAAAAAGTACAATCTCCTACTTTATGGGGAAACGTTAGTTTGAAATGGTAAAGTCAGCACAAATAAAGTGGGCTCAGGATTTAGGTCAAAATATACAACTTCAAGATTGGGAAAAGATGTGGAAGGAGAACCTAAAATTTACAGATTGTATCTTATTGAAAGAGAATTATATGAAAATGATGTATAGATGGTATATAACCAGAGAAAGTGGTCAAAATGTATAAAAAGGTATCAAAAACCTGTTGGAAATGTAAAGAAAAAGAAGGAACATTCTATCGTATGTGGTGGGAATGCAGAAAGATTAAAAATTATTGGGAAATGATATATAATGAATTAAAAAAATGTTTAAAAAGACCTTTGTTAAGAAACCAGAAGCATTCCTTCTAGGAATTTTAGACCAAGATGTAAAAAAAGAAAAATGGAAATTATTTATCTATGCAACAACAGCAGCAAGAATTATATTAGCACAAACTTGGAAGACAGAAGAAATACCAACGAAAGAACAATGGCAAGGGAAACTTATGGAATATGCAGAACTGGCAAAACTAACAGAAAAATTACATGAAAAGGACAACAAAGACTTTAAAAGAGAATGGGAACCATTTATAACATATATGAAGAGGCAACATAAAGAAATGGACTCATTGCCAATCATAACTGTATACAACAAAAAATAAGACTATATGTATTGAGAAAATTTTGGGGAAACAATACACAGGGTGAACAATATGGGGTAAAAACAAAACGGGAGTATGGGGGAAGTCCAGGGGAGGAGGGTCAAAATATAAAAAATTGTTAAAGATATATTGTTAAAAGAAGCATACATGGAAAAATCAATAAAAATTATTTTTTTTAAAAAAAGAATTGCCCCCCCCCAAAAAAACCTCAGGCTTTTATTTCCATTACATTTACATACATTTACATTATTTACACAATGAGTCTCGTCTGATTGGCTGAGTCTGCTTCCCTCCTGGATCCTGACTGGTCTTTTCCTGCAGGCCAATCAGTTGTTGCATTCTAGGATCCTACTTGCCTATTGTTCTAGGATCCAAGCTTAGTACATAACAAAGCTAGTGTCCAGTACTTTTTATGTTCCGCCTGAATGGATCACTGAATCAAAGACAAGGAAAAGATAAGCTACAAAAGAAGCCAGGAAAGCATTATAGCGACGGATCAATTAACCCAACAGTTGTCAATAGTTAAGGTAGGACTGTGCTTGACTGACAGATGTCATTAACACTCCTCCTCCCCCTACAAAAATAAAAATAAAATTGGATGAATGGACCAAAAAGATGCTCTCTTTCTGCTTACAGAGAAGACCCAGAACAACATACTAACAATTTCAAAACACCAAACAGAAATGGGTAACTTTGAGAATGTCAGCAATTCATCATTCCCAGAAAGCCTTCAAACCAAGCCTGCTTTTCGCATTACAAAACCTGAACTTTGGACTGCACTGAGTGATTGTTAAGAAATTAGAAGATTTAAAATGGTCTGCATACTGCAACACCTGGTTCCAATTTCCCATTCCGCTCCCTCTCCGCTCCCTGCTATCAATTACTAACCTGTGTGGCCGTTTGACAAGTCTGCCTTGCAGCCGAGAAAACCAGCTTTGCTTCTGGCACACTACGGAGTTTGGAGAGGATGTTGGGTGTGTGCAAGCATTTATATACAGTACTCTGGGTTGCCTCCTGCTGTTCCTCTGCAACACTACAAGTCAACACTAGCAAATTATGCAGAAGCTGGGAAGCTGAACTTTTCCACTCTATACTTGGCTCGAAAAAATTGCCCTGAAAACTGTTCGTTTTCTTCTCTGCCTTTTCTAAAAACCAATTTTTAATGGGTTCATAATTAACACGATGCAACAGGGGTGTCCACAAATTGCATTCAACAAACGCACAGTCTGTATACTTAGGTACTACAAGTTCTTTCTATCGGATGTAAATCTTGTCAGAAAGCAAGCTGCACTTCCCGAAACAGGCACAGGGCATTCCTGGTCTTGTTGCCAGCAAAAGAAAATGGCTTCAATGAGACGTATTAGAAGCATCACTGAAGCAATTCCCTTTTACTGGCAACGAGACCAGGAATGCCCTGTCTATTTCAGGAAGTGCAACTTGCTTTCTAACAAAAGAACTGTGGCAGAAAGCGGAATGTAGCTCATTTCATTTTTCTTGCGCAATTTCCCAATTTTTAAAAATCAAAGCACCAACATTTAAAACAAAAAATACCAATGCCTTTAAAGGTCATAACTACAGTTTGCAAATGCTTTATTTTCATTACAAACTTTACTGATTTTTTTTTTTTAAAGTATCCAGCTTACCGGAGAAGTCTAGATTGTGCTGCAAAAATCTCGACAAGACATGCAGCTGGGATCTCATTCTTTGGCAAATACTTCTACTCACTGGACCTCTGCACAACATTTAAATAAACTTGAAGAAATCTGAAGAAATCAGGATACACTTGATGAATTGGCTGCAATGTTGTTGTTTGGTCATTTAGTCGTGTCCGACTCTTTGTGACCCCATGGACCAGAGCACGCCAGGCACTCCTGTCTTCCACTGCCTCCCGCAGTTTGGTCAAACTCATGCTGGTAGCTTCGAGAACACTATCCAGCCATCTCATCCTCTGTCGTCCCCTTCTCCTTGTGCCCTCCATCTTTCCCAACATCAGGGTCTTTTCCAGGGAGTCTTCTCTTCTCATGAGGTGGCCAAAGTATTGGAGCCTCAGCTTCAGGATCTGTCCTTCCAGTGAGCACTCAGGGCTGATTTCCTTAAGAATGGAGAGGTTTGATCTTCTTGCAGTCCATGGGACTCTCAAGAGTCTCCTCCAGCACCATAATTCAAAAGCATCAATTCCATACACTTTTCACAAATCAGATTCCCCTTTCAGTTTCCGCAGACGGATTTCTTCATAAAGCTGATGCCTGAACCTCAACATGTCTTCTACATCTTTAGGCGAAACATTTCCTCAATAGACAAGAGCTTAAAGCCATTCAATTAAAAAGGCAACAGGTTCATGCAGATATACAAAATTTAAAGGATTTCTTAAGTTATAGGACATTTTACCTAGCCGTTTTTTGTGTGATTGATGATGGGAGTCCTGTGAAAACGTTAAAAAAAACACTGGGGCCTAATCTGAATAGTAGAGTGCTGGGTATCTGGTGGGCGGGGCTTGTGTTTTGCTCTGGAATCAGCCCCTCCCTTCAGTGGGTGTTCCGTTATGTTCAGTTAAGACGGCTGTGCCGTCTCCATGGGGATGGGCGGCGCCGGTGCCAGGTGAGGGTTGGGAGCAAAGAGCGCGAGCAGGAGCGGCGACGGGCCTTTCTCTCGGCGACCTGCCGTGCCCCGTTGCTTAACACAGGGAGTGTGAGGTTGAGGGCGCTTGGGAGCCCACGGAACCAGGGCACGTGTCTTGGCGCCGCAGACCCGGATTGAAACCTTGATCACCAATGAGATAAGGTTTGAGGTCTCTACCCAAAGGGAGCTATGAGTGATTGCACTGGAGGAAAAAGTTTGTATCCCTCTGTTGTGTGAGCATGAGGTGTCCCTCTCACCTGGGATGCAGGCACTGAGAAGATGCTCCAAACCAGCAACTATAGCCTGGTCCTTTCCTTGCAGTTTCTACTGCTGTTCTATGACCTCTTTGTCAACTCCTTTTCGGAGCTGCTGCGCATGGCGCCCGTCATCCAGCTTGTGCTTTTCATCATTCAGGATATTGCCATCCTCTTCAACGTCATCATCATCTTCCTCATGTTCTTCAACACCTTCGTCTTCCAGGCTGGCCTGGTTAATCTTCTGTTCCAGAAATTTAAAGGGACCATTGTCCTGTCAGCAGCATACCTTGCTTTGAGCATTTCCTTCCACATCTGGGTCATGAACCTCCGCTGGAAAAAATCCAACTATTTCGTGTGGACAGATGGGCTGCAGACTCTCTTTGTTTTCCAGAGAACGGTGGCTATGCTATACTACTACTTCTATAAGAGGACGGCTCTGCACTTGGGAGATCCCCGTTTCTACCACGACTCTCTTTGGCTACGGAAAGAGTTTGCACAAGCGCGCCGATGAAAGCTGCTTCTGGATCATTTGGTGCAGAGGCCAGCTTGCTAGAATGTCCACAGAGATTTTACCAGTGTCTTGCAAGTTCCCCTCCTCCCGCTACAATTTGTCTCCTGCAGTCAAGTTCTAAATCTCATGTGGTCAAATGACTTCATTCCTTTCCTACGTTCGTGCACATTGAGAAGCATATAGTGGCAAGCAGGGTATCCACAAAAGAGCAGTTTCATTGATGAGTAGCCTAGTCTCCAAGCTCTCCACAATCCTCCTCTCAGTTCAGTAAACTGCACTCTGGATGCGGCTGCAGCCTTACTGAGGAACGATTTGAAGCGCCAAACCGATCTGGCTGAGAACCCCGAGTAGCAATGCTGCCTTTTCCTCCTAGAGAATATTTCCTTGCCCTAAGCTCCCCTGTGACAGAAAAGGATTCCTGCCACTAGTACCTCTGACAGTGTGACAAGGCACAAAGACTATGGTTTGGCTTTGCAGGATTCAGCCTGAGCAAATGTACTCTCATTGACTTGTTAGATTCTCCTTTTGTAATTGCATTTTCATTCATATGTTCAGTTAAGAATGTCAGTTAAGAGGGAACAACTGCCTCTTCTTGCCTCAGGTTTGCCTCATGTTGTATTTAGCTTCTCTCAACATGTTATTTTGTTACAGCTTTCTTCATTATTAAAGCTTAGTTTACATTTACGTGAGTCACTTAATTTTTCTCATAGAAGAAGAATGCATCTCTGGGTTATCTGTGGGGCCTTGCCTGGTGTTTTTACATGAGTAGAATGTGTGCTTTTATTTAAAATGCATCTCTGGGTTATTTGTGGAGCATAGGAATTTGTTCATTAATTTTTTTTTTCAAAATATAGTCCGGTCTGAGGGACAGCGGTCTGAGGGACAGTGGACCGGCCCCCTGCTGAAAAAGTTTGCTGACCCCTGGGAGAAAGGTTATGGTGAACTAACTATAGCTGAATGTCCAATTATTATTTTTTATATAAAATGCTGTGTAGATGCTATGATGTGTATAATGAAGGCGGGGTCATGATTATGCTGTCTAGATTCACTCTTCACATGCCCAAGAACCCCTGACCAGAATCCACAGGAAGATGCAATTCTGAGCATGCCATGTCAAACCTTCAAGTAATAAGATGCTATTATATCTGTGAAACGTCAGGAACAAATGTTTTTACTTCCTGTAGATCATTTTGGACCCGAACAAAACCTCAGCTGATGCCTTTCCTCTTCAATATTCCAACTCTGCAATTCTATGATCTATGCTTTTTGGTACTACAAGTCAGTGACTCTGCATACAGAATCAGGTGATATTACAATGGCCCGCCAACCGAGGCCTCCCCCCAGGCTGAGAAGGTGGCAAAGGCGGAAAAGGCTGCCGGAAGCATGGAAAATGGCAGCCATCCAGGCTGCCGAAGCTTTCCCTCCCCTAAGCTGAGTACGGAGGTGAAGGAGGTTTTCGCCCGCCCACTTTGTAGAGTTCCATTTGAGAAGTTTGATCTGAGCTGCCGCTTCAATTTGCTGACGGGAAACCCTGGTGGGGCTGCTCTTGAATGCACTTCCATAGGATTTGGCGTGAGTTCTGGAGCAGCCATGGTTTCCTTTTACTGCCCAGTTATTTCTACTGTCTTTCTCCCCCACATCGCGATGAGAATGTATTCTGCAAAGCTCTCATGGAGTCTCCAACCCACCAACCCACAACTAAATATATAGTGGGGCTGGGCCATGGCTAAGATTACGTATCTAAACTGTAATACGGAAGGGGGGCATGCGTGTCAAACCCCTTTCCACCAACTGGGATCTCATTCTTTGGCAAATACTTCTACTCACTGGACCTCTGCACGACATTTAAATAAACTTGAAGAAATCTGAAAAAATCAGGATACACTTGACGAATTGGCTGCTCCAGAACTCATGACCTCGGGGGCACCCGGCCCTACATGAACCCTTCAGCCCCCCCCCCCAGTTTGCATAAGCACCACACATAACCCCAAGACCCATGAATAAAAGTGCCTTTTCCCCTTCCTACACCCGTTTGTTTCAATGAATAGACCGGGCGACATAAGTTCAAGCGCCTTATTGCTCCCTCCCACCCGATTATTTTCTTTGGTAGACCTTACGATGTAGTATTATGTATCTTATGAATGAACAAGCCTATTTGCGTACTGGAGAGTCCTGCCCAATCAGCTCGAGCTCTTGCACGCCTCATTTACCCTTTGACAAGCTACTGACGGCTCCCCGCTGCGAGAACAATGGAACCGAAACCCCATAAACCTTTAATACTGTCAATCTTGCTACAATGTATCTAATTATTTCCAAATTGGACTGTCACTACCTAAATGGACTAAAATATATAGAAATTTGTAGAAAATCGCTAGTACCTCCAATTTTCTTGCTCAACGCCTACCTGCTCAATTTCCTCCAGACTTCAAGACTGCTCCAGTGCCCTCAAGCGGGAGGTCATGTACACCCAGGAAGATCCTTAATCATGCCTAATCACCCAGCCTGGCCCTTCCTCCGGGCACTGCCGGGTGACAGACTATGCAAACTAGGACCCCATTGTTCTTTCAACTCTGGTACTCAGGAGGCACTTATCTATACATGTTCCGACTCTGCATATTCCCCCTCCCTCCTGGATATGTTAATCCCGGGTAACCCACCCCTTTCCTGATGTAATCATGATGTAACTGTGATGTGTTGATGATGCTTTTGCACTGTATCATGGTTAATGGTGGGAAGTTTTAAAAATTCATGTCACCCCATTCTCGGGGTTCAATCTTGCCTTGAACCTGTTGTGCGATAAACTTGGATCTTCGCCTCCTTGCTCCTGTCTCTGGCTGCACTCCTTTGTTCCGCAGGGACCCGCGGACTCAGTCCGACGAGCTAGGTGGTAAAGCAGCCTCGCACCTAGATTTTACCCTAACATTTGGCGCCCAACGTGGGGCGGCGGGTCTCCCGTGTTGCTGACCGGGGGCCCCGAAGTCTTCAGCTGGCACCAGGCCGTTTTGCCTGGAAAGACCCCTCCGGACCTCCGGCCATCTTCGGGCGGTAATCAGCCAGCCTCAGGAGTTCCGCCGGGGAACAAAGAGAGCCAGCCAGCTTATTCAACGACCCCGGGATCGCAGCAGAAGACACGTGAGTATAAGGAAAATCCAGTGCACAGGTGGGAAAGGGGGTGGTAGTCTCCTGGGAATTGAATTCTCTGCCCTCTTTTCTATCGTTCCTTATTACCTTTCTCTTGGTCCAGTTACTGAGAGATTCCGTGGACCGCTGCTCAACCCGGAAGGGGGGTTCTGAGCTCTATGTCTTTATCTCAAATTCTCCAGCCAGCCGCACCAACCGAGAGCCCGAAAGTAAGACGGAGAGAACCGGCTTAAAACCCGACTCACTGCAACGGGCATCTCGTTGAAAGCAAGGGGTTAGAGCTCTTTTTCCAAACTTCACATACCTGGCAAGGGGGCCAGAAGGGCCTGTCTTTCCTATCTCAAACCCCAGCCGCCCCAGTTGAGCCACGTAACACGTGTATCGTGCATAAGCCCGCTTCTGAAAGCAAGGGGTTTTTTCCCCCGGCTCGAAAACTCTATCCAGGGATCGCCTGATCTGGCACTACACTGCGCGGGCGTCCAGTAGGGCCCCTTTTCCTTAAGATTGTGACGATAGGTAGGAGGTTGCCAGGAGGGATAGCCTGGGAGGAACTGGGCAGGATTTGGCAGAGTGGGAAAGCACCCCAAGGATTACGAAAAGGAAAGAACGAGTGCCGAAGGTCTGGGGAGGTAACCGGATAGCTAGGGCTCGATAAACCACTAGGGAGTTGCCAAGCAACAAGAAATAGAAGAACCGTAGGAAAAAACCCTGTACAAGTTACCCAAAATCCTTATCGACCCCCTCTCTTTCTCCCCTCTCTACCCCAGACACGCGTGGATTAAAACATGGGTACCAAGGCTTCCAAAAATGAGCGGGTTCCCTCCAGGAGGAAGGCTTTGAAAAAGCCATCCCAATCCCAGAGGAACCCTGACTCCCCTCTTGAATTCGTTTTGACCTACTGGAAGTCGATACCCGGCCATAAGTTACTGTCTAGACAAAAGTTAGAGGACCTCTGCAGAAAATCCTGGCCCGCCAGTACCGCCTCCGCAAATCCAGAACTACGTTGGCCAATAGGAGGCTCTTTTATCAAAGATCGCTTAAGCCATCTAAGAAAATACCTGATGGAGAAAAAGCCCCGTCAGTTAGAATATTTAACCACCTTCGAGGCCGTCAGAGGATTACTTCAAGCTCCCAAAGGGGAGCTGCCCGTGCTAAATCCCAGAAAGCAGCCTTTGCCTCGCCCTACGAGGAACACCCCGTAGACGATTCCATCGAGCGAACCCTGATCCCCTTCTACTATCAAGGGTTGACACCATCCGCCCCAAACAACAATGCAGATAGTGACACGGAATCGAGGGAAGGAGGAGCGGGGGGAGCACGAGTCAAGCACTTGCCTGCTAGCAAGCTAAGGCAAAGAAGGGTGCTACCCCAGAGGACTCCATTCAATCAGATGAATCCACAGAACCACCGGGAACCTCTAACCAGACAGCGGTTCAAATGCCTCTAAGGGCTCTACCGATTCCACCTTTAGATCCCAGTGGGGCCCCCTGGATGGTATACACACCACCCCTTCTACACGGCAGACCTAGTTACATGGTCGAACCAAATGCCTTCCTTGAGAGATGACCCAGACAAGTGCCACGGCCAAGTCACTGCCATCTTCTCTACCCATAACCCTACCTGGCCTGACATCCATGTCCTCCTAAACGCCCTCTTTAACGAGGCTGAAAAGGCAGACATCCTAGCCAAAGCAGGGGAGGCGCTGGAACTCCTGGACTATCAGGCTGGCCGACCCGCACGGGTAGCAGCACTCACCACCCAGGTCTTAAGAAACGAACCGTCTTGGGACTACAACACCACGGACGGGACCTGGTGTTTGAATTTATTCAAAAAAGCCATATTGGACGGAATAAAAGCTGCTGGTCAGCGCACCGTCAATTGGACAAAGGTCCAAACAGTATTACAGGGACCGAATGAACAACCCTCAGATTACTACACCAGGCTGATATCAGCTATTAAAAAATGGGGAGGAATAGACCCAGAAAACACCCGACACAAGGTTATTGTAAAGGGCTTCTTTAAAGACCAAGCTAGCCCAGACATCAGGAAGGCTCTTAACCTCCAAATCGGTTACGACGGGAAAAGCATAAGTGAGATCCTGTCAATAGCTAAGTCTGTGTACAACTCCCGGGACGAGAGGAAACGTAAAAAGCCCAAGCAGGAGAATGAACATGTGTTAGCCTTGAGTATGGAACCCAACCCCAACCAGGATAGGGGTACCGGACAAGGAAGGGGGTCCGGGGAGGAGGACCCCCTAACCCCTACAGACAGTGGGGGCCCACCACCGGAGAATGTTATAATTGCCAAGAGGAGGGGCACATAAAAAGGTTCTGTCCAAAAGAGGGGGCTTCGCCCTGCCGGACTTGAAATTGTACTATGAAGCAGCGTATCTCTGTTGGTTAAAGGAATGGATGAAATTAGAAAATACAGAATTGTTAGATTTGGAAGGATATGATAATAGATTTGGTTGACATGCATATTTATGGTTTGATAAGAAAAAGTCCATAAAGGATTTGGAAACCACATATTTCAAAGATCTCTTATAGATGTCTGGAATAGGTATAAAAACCTATTGGAACAAAAAATACCACATTGGCTGTCTCCTTTGGAGGCAATGAGTTTTAAAAAAGTCAATATGAGTGGGAGGCGGATAACATATGGGAATTTAATAATTAAAGAAGGGAGTAAATGGAAATTGAAATCATACAACAAGGTAAAAGAGTATGTTAACGATTGGTTGCATTATTATCACGTTAATGAAATGTTTAAAAAAGATGCTAAAGGAAAAGGTTTTTCTGAAAAAGAATCGAAGTTTCAACAAGAGATATTGAATAATGATTCAAAAATCTTGTCTAAAATGTACAAATTGCTGCCTGAATGGTATATGAAAGATGAGGAGGTTAAATCGGTTATGATTCATTGGGCCAAAGACTTTGGATACAATATACAGTTAAGTGATTGGATAAAACTATGGAAAGAAGGTTTAAAATTTACTGCATGTAATACGTTAAAAGAGAATGTGATGAAAATGATATATAGATGGCATATTACGCCAGTAAAGTTAGCAAAAATGTATAAAGTAAGTAATAAGTGTTGGAAATGTAAGGAAAAAGAGGGAACATTCTATCATATGTGGTGGGAGTGTAAAAAGGTGAAAGGCTTCTGGGAGATGATATATAATGAATTGAAAAAAATGTTGAAATATACATTTATAAAGAAACCAGAAGCATTTCTTTTAGGTATTGTGGGAAATGAAATAAATAAAAAGGAATGTAAGCTCTTTTTATATGCAGTAATGGCAGCAACAATATTATTGGCCCAAAAATGGAAACAAGAAGAATTACCAATGATGGAAGAATGGAGAATGAAATTAATGGACTACGCAGAACTTAATAAATTAACAGGAAGGATCCGAAACCGGCGGGACCAGAAGTTTACTGAGGACTGGAGTAAATTTAGATTATCTGAAAAAGTATATGCGATGATCAAACGTTTGTTGGTTTGCAAGAAGCTCTGTGAAAAATTAATATTGAGAAATATTGTAAAAATAAAAAAGGAGATAAGATATGTTATTAATATAAGGCAATATTAAATTAGGAAATGCATAAGGAGTGAAAAAATAATGTATCTGTGATAAAGTGTGTGGTGTGTTTTATAATTTTGTATTGTAAAATCAATTTTAAAGAATTACACAAAAAAAGGAGGAGGAGGAAGCTTGGCCGGACTTTTTACGGTTCCGTAATAACCTAAACATCACCAGGGTCGAATCTCCCCCCTCCAAGGCCGAGGTCCTTCGCTATTTGGTGCACTTGAAGGATATGGGCCGGGCGGCAAAGACCCTTAATATGCAGTCGGCGACAATATCATTTTTCTGCAAGGCGCTGTATTCCTCGGACCCCTGTGAAGACTTTGTAGTGCGTAAGGCCTTGGAGGGTTGGCGTAGGCTACAGCCTCCCAGCAGTGACAAGCGGAGGCCAATAACATTTGACATCCTATGCCAAATCCATAAAAAATTAAGAACAATATGGCCAGCAAGCCAAGGCGAGAAAGTGTACCGCACCTGAGAACCTCATTCAATTAGAAGAACTAGTAGAGCCACCAGAAATCTCTAGCCAAGTGGCGGTTCAAATGCCTTTAAGGGCTCTACCGATTCCACCTCTAGATCCCAATGGGGCCCCCCGGATGGTATACACGCACCAACCCTTTTATACAGCAGACTTAGTCACATGGTCAAACCAAATGCCCTCCCTGAGAGATGACCCAGACAAGTGCCACCGTCAAGTTAGCGCCATCACTACTTCCGGGTTGGCGCCTCGGGTAACGGCGGAATTCCTCTGATCGGGAGGAATTTGCCTCGTGGAAATTCGGGTCTGGCCGCCACGGCGAAGGCGGAGACCCACTAAAAATCACAGGCGGGTGAAGCCTGTGAACGTGGGATTCGGCTGGCACCTTTTGCGCCTCCCCTACTCGCGGGGAAACCCGGTTTCGGGGATCCGGAGCGACGTGGGGTGAGCGGCGCGGTGCTTCAAATTGATTGCTTCTTCCACGGAGCGAAGCCGCATAGCTGTTGCCGGAGAGCGCTGACTTTTTCCTGTGGACAATTTTATCTTAAAGCAACTACCCGTGAGTAAAGCGGAGAATTGGATTTTTAAACGTCTTAATTTGGTGTTGAAACGGGGAGGTCCAAAACAGGAAGTCCACCTTCCCACTTTGTAAATAGACTGAAGCAATGAATGCAAGCTGAAGTCGCGGAAAGTCTATCCGAAAGGACTAAATTTCCATCGGTAAAAAATACTAAACCCCCCTTGGTGGCAGGAGAAGAGGGGGGAAAGCTTTGGACCGAATATACCTGCAGGAGAGAGTGAACAGAGTTAAAATACCACCGCTCCGATCCTGGAAACGGGCTGTCGGTAGGACTGACGTGCCTTAGAATGCTTATTGACTGTGATTAGAACGTTGACTGACAGCTAGTTAAATAAGAGAAATACTTTGTTTCCATTGTCTCCGTCTGCGTTTAGAAAGAAGTAAAAGTAATTGAAAATTGAAACTAACTTTATTGTTTGGACTGTGTTTAAAAGGACCAATACAAATAGAAACTGTTTCCCTCTAGAGGAAGCCTTTGAAACTGTTACAAGAGTTGAGCTGGGGGAATTTCCAGCTGCAAGATAAAAAGCTGTGAGATTCTGGGACTGACCTTGAATCGGTTAAGAATAAATAAATAACTCAGTGGAACAGCTTAATAAGAAGGTGGATGTGGTAACTACCAAAATCGATAATTTGGTACAAAAAGTGAACATCAATACAGAAACTATTCAGAAATTGATACAGGAATCTATTTTGACATGGCAAACTGTGAAGACCAGGGAGAAAGTTGCTGTTGTTGAACCTAAAGTAACACAACTGGAGAGAGAGAGGGTCCCAGCCTTATGGATGCAACTTGATGATCATAAGTTGATGCCTTCTATGATTGAATTTAAAGAAAATCAGATTTCAAGGACCAGAGCTCTACCCGAACTGGAGAAAGAAAGTTTGATAGATCCCTTTACACAGGAACTTGCTGATTTTTGGGACCTGGACTTGGGTCAAGAAGAGATTAAAATTGTGAGGGCCTTCAGACTTGGAGAAATTTTGAAAGACGTCCCAAAATCTTTTGGATCTTAGTTTCAACTACGGAGATTTGGCTGCCCTGTCGAGAAGGAATAAAATCATCTCTAGGTGGGAGTTTCCCCGAGATCTACCCTTCAGTCTCAAAGGAAGGAAAATAAAAATAAGATCAGTAGAAGACAAAGTAAAGTGCATGTATAAATATGAAGACTTGCAGAAGGGACTTGGAAAAGGCTTAAGAGCCTCGGACAGAAGATTACCAGGTTGATGGACTATATGGAATTGACTGGCAGAATCCGAGTCCAGGGAGAAGTGACGGTGGAAGAAGATTGGAAAAAAGTTTAAAGACTATTTATGGAAATATTGTAAAATTAATGAGTGTTAGAAAAATGTTGGAATGAAACTATACGGCTTTAGTAGAAATGTTAGAAGGAATTAAGTACAAGTAGATCATTGGAGTATTAAAGGCAAAATAAGGTTAAAATATGTTAAGATAACTATATGACAGAAAATAGAGGAAGATGGAAAGGAATTGCTGAAACAATTAATAGAAGTGGAATACAAAAAGGGAGGTGTGAGGAGGTCGTTGAAACAAGTGAATGTAAGATATGATATTGAAATGGTTTGATGTGTGTTTTAAATTGTGTTTGTTATGTCTTGCTTAGTTTATTGTGTTGCTTAGTTTATTGTGTTAGTGATGTGTTGTGTATTGTGTATATTGTTTTTTTTTCTTCATCTTTTTTCTTCCCTTTCCCTTCCTTTTTTTTTCCTTTTTGTAATCTTTAAAAGTAATAAAATTTTTTTTAAAAAAAAACACAACAAGTTAGCGCCATCTTCTCAACTCACAAACCCACCTGGCCGGACATTCACGTACTTCTGAATGCTCTCTTTAATGAAGCCGAGAAGGTGGACATTTTAACAAAAGCGGGGGAGGCGCTAGAACTCCCGAATTATCAGGCAAACTGGCCCACAGGGGTGGAACTGCTCATGATCCAGGTTTTATGGAATGAACCGACTATTAACACCACCAACGGGACCTGGTGCTTCAATTTGTTCAAAAAGGCCATATTAGACGGAATAAAAGCTGCTGGTCAGCGCACTGTCAATTGGACCAAAGTCCAATCCATCCTACAAGGACCGAATGAACATCCCTGGACTATTATACCAGGCTGGTATCAGCTATTAAAACATGGGGAGGAATAGACCTGGAGAACTCCCAGCATGAAGTCATTGTAAAAGGCTTCTTCAAAGATCAAGCCAACCCAGATATTAGAAAGGCTCTCAACCTCCAAATTGGCTATGATGGGGGAAAGTATCAGTGAGATTCTGTCGATAGCCAAGTCTGTCTATAACACCCAGGATGGGAGAAAGCGGAAAGAGCCCAGGCAAGAGAGCCAACATGTGCTGGCCTTGAGCATGGAACCCAACCCCTACCGGGGTAGGGGCACCAGGCGAGGAAGAGGGTTCCGGGGAGGAGGACCCCCTAACGCCCTCAGACCTTGGGGCCCCACCACAAGAGGTTGTTATAATTGCCAAGAAGAAGGGCACATAAAAAGGTTCTGCCCATACCTCAACACAGAAGCCTATGGAGAACAGGAATTCAAGCCTCCTCATGAGAGAAACAACAGCTTTCCCCCTTTCCCGTCCCGTCCTCATACAACCCAGGGATATGGGGGCCAACCTACTACCTTCCTATGGCCTGCAAGCACCTCCTCTCCC